CTACCGCCCGTTATAAAGGGAACAGCCGGAACAGCCAATATTCATCCATCCACGTTCCCGCCACTCCAACTGTGGCCCCTGCCACCGCTGGTTTCGCCGGTTCGATTTCTTCGAGCGAACTTCTGGGACAGTTTGAATAGCTTGAACTAGTTTGAACTTTGAGTTACTTTGATTTCCAATTAAGCTACGTCCAGCCGCGTCCACAACGGTGACTGCTGACTGATAAAGCGGACAACCGAACAGCTTCTGGACGGCGGGACTCGAGAACCGTAAGTAACCACCTTTTTGATAACCACTGTGCACGCGCTTCTTTTCTTGAAAACAATCTGACGTAAACTGGTATCCTGTCGTTCTCTTTGTTTCAAAAGTAACAAGAGGGGGAAAAATGAAATGACATAGAAAACCGTTACATCGTCTGTGCAACCGGCAAAAAAGAATTATTGCCGAGAGCGTCCGCGACCATCTTGCAGACATTTTTCCGAACTCAGTTTTTGTGGCGGCGGATAGGGATTTGATGGTCGACAGAGCAGAGGACAGCGACAACGGAGCGAAAGAGGTTTTAAGCAGTGCTACCGAACGGTTTCAGTGATCTTTGCGTGGACACAGATTCAGAGTCGGGTGGTACTGAAATCCGGTCGTAAGGTCTTTTGAGCTTGGCAAGCGAGCTATAGTAGCGACATGGGCTAGGTCATCAGTGCGACGGTGTGCCCAGCAGTTTCTTTGCGATTTTGGAAATTCTTTGTGAAATTTGAGCAAATGCTAGTGAGAGGTCTGGTCCCACATGGAGACACAACTGTTTGTTTTGCCTGTTGCAAAAGCTGAAAATGTCAGTCCCCACAGGTATGCACAATGGCAAGGAGGACAGGAGAACTTTTCGAGAAGTTTGAAAACAGGTGCAACTCTCACTACTTTTTCAACAAAAATGTTTGCTATTAGTCGACAACTGCCCACATTATCTCTCCGTCATCCCTGCAAATCTTTACAAAGGGCTGAATATTGAACTAAGCGAAGTACGTTCAGGAAAGCATGCTATGCTTCCTTTATAGCACCTTATTAACAAGTTTAGGTGTTTTGCATTTAGTATGGTGTTGTTTTGTTTGCAGGCAAAGAAGTCCTAAGCATCGTGTCCAAAGCAGGAAGTGCTGGTGCGAATCTCAGCTCTAGAAAGACGACATTCTGTGTTTACTTTTATTTTATCCTTTAAAAACAATTTATTCATGAGTATTTGCCACCTGCTCAGTATGGCAATAATGTTGTTTTTTTTTGTTGTTGTCTTGCTTTCATCTAGTCATCAGTTGTGGGCATTTCTTTTAACACCTTTTCCTAATCATGTGTTCCAGACAGGTTTTTAAGCTTTTTATAGCTCTATTTTTACTTTTGCAACTTGAACATTTATAGCTGCTCGGTACGAGAATGCGGAGAGCTCAAACTCCTCTGAAACACCCTCGCGGTTGGAGTAGGATGTGAACGTTTGAGAACATTTATTAAATTATAATAAAGAAACAATTTTGGTATGAAGCGAGCCCACTGTAAAACCATAAGATGACATTTTAGTTCTTGTAGCATTCATTTTAATGAGAAAGTTTGTGAGCAGGAAAGATAATTATGCTTTCTTCATGATGGCAAGCTTTTTCCACCAAAATTAGTGCTAGCATTCTCGGTGCTATTTTTTATGTACCGCAAATTGGGCTTAAGATGGACGTCAACTCATAGAGATTTTTTTTTTTTATTATCTTTTGATCTATGTAATGTCGTGTTTTCAAACTTTTGCACCCTACTCCAATCGCCAGGGCTACATTCTACCAGAGTTTGAGGTTGTTGTGATGTCTAGTTTATTTTTGCGGTAGAGAAACACTGTTGAGTTTTCTCGCCCCTTTCTTTAATTATGTGAGCTTCATAAACCCAATTTACAGGCCTTCAAGCTTCTTCGAAAGTGTGAATTTTTTTCATAATTGTTCACTTTAATTTTTTTTTTTAGAGGGAAAATAGTTTTAACTGCATAGTCTAGCAATATTGTCGCTGCTCATGTACACTTCAATGTTCCAAATTTGGAGAGTCAATAAATGTACTCATAAACATGTACCAAACTGTTTTCTTTTCACAGCAGGGGTAGACTGCAATTAATCACCTGGGAATCATGGTGTTCGGCGCAAAAAAACAACGGACATAAGAGAGAAAACAGACACACAGGTGCCACTCACAACTATATATATTTGAAAAGTTCAGAAAAACAGGAATACATCTATCGTCATCTTCATCACGTCCACGCATGCGCTTAGCCATGTAATATACGCCTCATCTAACACATGGCTAAGCGCATGCGTGGACGTGATGAAGATGACAATGTATGTATTCCTTTCTTTCTGCACTTTTCAAGTACAGTTGTGAGTGGCACCTGTATGTCTGTTTTCTCTCTTGTGTCCATTGCTTTTTTGCACCTTACACTATGATTTCCAACGTTCACCAACTAGCCCAACTACAAGTTCTTCTAAAATTAATCACCTGTATGGATGCTTGTTTGTGCTGTGCTAAATCTGGTGATGGTTGTATCCCACACTTTCTACCAAGGGAACACTTTTTTCTTCAATTAGTGGTGTGTCGAGTGGCATTATGGCTAAGCTGAATAAATGAATTTCTGATTATTCTTCCCCGGGAAAGTGTGAGGTGCACACAGCTGTTTGTTCAGAACAAGTGTCTTTCTATATTTATGCTTACATCTGTTGTCACAAAGAAGCTTTGTGATGGTTTAGTGTTCAATATTTTAAATTATTATGCCTCTCACAAACACACTCTGTTCAATTACTGGGACAACCAGTATATGGCCAAACAGATTTGACAAGTTTGGGAGAATGATAAACATAGATCAACTTTTGTTTGCTTGTTTATCATTCTCTGCTTAGATCTCACTTGAAACTTTGGGTGAAGAGTGCAAAGATATTACAATAATCATAAATTAAAAGGCCATTTGGAGTAGAATCCTTTTCTGACATATATGTACAGACGTGGAAAGATTCAACGAAGCCACAGGAGCGTGCGACCTCGAGATACTCGCGCACTTCATGACGGCAGCGAAAAGAACTAGTATCGATGGCTGCTGCAGCTAGCTGTGAAATTAGCTGCTGTCAGCATCCGTTAAGATGACCTGCTCTGCCGCCCTGCTACCATACTAACGACCATACGCCTAGAGTGGCACTCTCTACACTGCATCTAGATAAGGCTGGTTATCTGTATCGAATAAGCTGATCGTGTGTACTTGGAATTGCAGAACGCAACAGAATGTCTTTCCTTTTTGTTTTCGATACAGTTCCAGTGAAGCACAATAAGCTTTGATTCACATCACGACAACCATATTGAGCCAAAAGCATGCATTGTTGCAAATAAAGTTCTTGAAAAGCGCATTGTCTGTTCAGCTGACAAAACATTTCAATGTCAGTGTACAGTGCGTCACTTTAGGCAAATGACTGTCAGTACGGCAGCAGTGCAGGTCATATAACTGGGTGTTGATAGTCGCTAATCTCGCAATCTGCCAGTATTAGAGGGGATAGTTCCCCACGCCACCGGCAGGACGCGCACACATAGTTCGAGGTTGCACGCTACTGTGGCTTTGTTTTTTTTTTTTTTTTTTACGATTGTATTAGCAAAAAGCGCACCTAGCTTGGTTACTGTTCACGAAAAAAAAATGCAATTGCTCTTATGAAAAAATGTTTGGAGGGACTTTTGAGAGTTACGAAGACAAACCATACATGTCTGTTTTATTTAGTCTTTTCACTGGTGTGGAATATTGAAATGTGTTAATCTGCTGTTTTGAAAAGGTCTAATAATGATTGTGCCTCACATTGTTATGCTCATTGCAAAGCCCCCATCTTCTGAGTAAACAATACTCAATAATAGCTAGGGTGTCATTGCTGTGTAGAATTGTTTTGGCCCACCATATATTGTTTCAAGGAGTGTTAAAGCTTGTGAAACAGAAGAGAATGTTACTGCACTGTTGAAATGTCTGCAAAGTTTGGAGGAACACTTCTGAACCATAAAGGCATAGCTGTGTGTAGGGCACATCTGAACTAAGGCTGCTTCAAACACTAATTTGACTGTGTTGCAGGGCTTGCACCTTGGTAAGACGACTGAGTTACCGTACGTGACAGGTGTTGCCATGTCAATTCACCGTCTCTCGGCAGCAGCCCTGGCAATGCAGTCAAACACAACTGTCTGAACCAGACTTTTACAGTATATATTTATCTTCATGGTTCAGAACACTCCTCTGGACATTTTGCATACATTTTGCTTTAGTCGGTGACAGGTCAAGAACCAAGTGGAAGCTCCTCCCACCTCTTTCCTCTTTAGTAGAGCGAACGCTGGAGAGGAGGCGACCTCCTCTCCAGCGTTTGCTCTGCTCAAGTGGAAAGAGGTGGGAGGAGCTTCTACTTGGTTCTTGACCTGTCACCGACTATAATGTGGTAATAACATGTTTTTCGAATGTTACTATAACGTTTACCAGAACATTATTTTAATGTTTTGTAAACATTATATTTCTGTTGTAATAACGCTGCGTAAAAAAATTATTTATGTTGTACAAATGTTACTACAATGTTTACAGTAATGTTATTCTAATGTTTTCCGGACATTGTATTTACGTTGCAAAAATGTTTTCCAAGTGTTCAAATAACGTTTATCAAAACGTTATAAGAATGTTCTGCCAAACGTTCAAATAGCTTTATACAGGCGGACATTAAGAACATTCCTCGAACGTTTGGGACGAACATAAAAATAACATTATTCTAATGTTTTCGTGTTACCTGGGTAAGCTGTTGGTTTCAGTTGTCTAGTTTCGGATTTGAGAAAGCGAAACAAAAATCACATTTTGGCACAATCAGAATGTAGTAGGACACGATCAATATCACCAAGAAGACAAGTCTTGCACATTGCTAATCCACAGTGCTGCATGCTTTCCTGAAGCGCCGCAGCACAAGGATTGCAGTGCCAACAGTACAACATAGGGTTCACTTGGCATAACATTTTATTGCGTACGGCGATGAACTCACACAAGTAATCGTCCGTTAACACGTGCGTACAGTTCGTGGACAGTTTCTTTTTACAAAAGACCAACCCGTCGCATCGGGTAACCAACCCTGTCAATGGCACTAACGGCTGACCTTTGCGCTGAGTACACAACACTGGGTATGACTTTGACCACAATGCGTTTGACATCTGTTCTACACTGGGCACTGCCGGCGGCACGGCAACATCCGAAACTGCCGAGACATTGGACATATATATAACTTTAGTGGACTGGGTGTCGTTTGAAGCTAGAAATTCAGTAATTTAATTTTAAGATTATAGAAAAAAAAGGAGTGCCATGAGAAGTAAACAACAATCTAGATTCTTTTTTTTTTTTTACAGGACAGTTTTGATTGTGAATGAGCACCTCCAATCTTAGTTTAGTATAACCCAATTAGTCGAGTAGGCGATAATCCCAAACGTGTGGGTGGGGTCGAAGATATCCAGATCACTGTGATATGACTAATTAAAACGAGCCTAAAAGCAAACAGACATTGAAATCTGTAGCATGCAGTCAACAAGGAAGGATCCAAGTTTCGACATAAGTGTGCTGTAGCAGTAAGCAGAAAAAAATCACAACGCATTTCTGCCAAGATAACAAGACCATAGCATAACCTGCCTTTTCAAAATACATGCTGAATTAAAGGAGTGAGGGTGAGATAGGTGTATATCTCAAAACTACAAGAAATTCAAATGGATTTCACTTTGAGATGATTTACAAACATATTTATTGTCAGGTGGGCTTAATATCTCCACCTAAAATATCAAGCCTACTTAACAACCGAAATTGGTTCAATTTAATTAATTTTTATAAATAGGTGCACAACTTAGTTTGTGTAAACCGAAAAGAGCCAGCCAGGTCATCTTGGTCACAGTCATTCAATTTGTGAAAGTGCCATGTCATGGACGCCCATGAGTTTTGAACACCAACTTCATTACTGCTTCGGCATCAGCACTCATTACGTCAATGCCACAGGTAAAAACAAGGTGTACCAACGATTGTCTTTCAGTGCACGCCCCACAATCCCTATAAATAAAAAACAAAACCTAGACAGCATTGCGACGGCGTTCGTCAATGAGGTAGTCATATTTACATGCTTCCACTCTGCCAGCACAGTGGCCCATGAAAGTGAGTAAGTGGCAGGCACATATTTATGTACACAACTGGAACATATAACCACCTTCGTGAAGTACAATGTTTAGTATTAAGAAAGGGGGCCTGAACCATTTCTTTGAATTGTGTTTGTCCATGGTGCTAACGTCGGTAAAATATCACATATGTACATCAATGGCCTTCCTTTAAAAAAAGAAAAAAAAAAAACAAGTCAAGCAAAAAGGAACACCAGTATAAACAGCCTAAAAGGTATTTGCATGTCGCACTTGAGGACACAAAAGGCACACGATTAGCGATTCATACAGTATCTACATGTGTCATTACCAGAACAAGAACCATGTACAGAGAAAACATAGGTTTGGTCCCCAAGCTGCCGAATACATGATGCAAGTGTGAATCACAAAGGCAAGCTGCCTTTTAGGCCCACGGTCCTCTTTCATACAATAAGTTACCACAAAATTTCATGACGATACAAAAAGCGTGCAGGCCCCTACAACCTCCGAGAACAATTTGGCCCCTCTGCACTTGTAAAACCTGCAATTCTTTGACACGGTGGGGAAGATTCTTACATAACAATTGTAAGAAAAACACAATGGAATCGAGCTGAGAAGTGAAGGATATATGCTAAGCTCTCACAAAGTATGTTTGCAGATGTGGCTCTCTCTAACCATGACCACGTACATGATGGAATGAAAACAGTCAATTCATAAAATCAGTTCAAACACGCTAAGATTAGAATACTCTCACAAAGAAATGGAAGGGTTTCATTTTATATCTAGGTATCAAAATACATCATTGATGAGGAGCTGATACTTTGGAATGTATTCAAACTGTTCATACATGTAATCTTTTTCCGTGGGAAACTTTAGGAAGACACTTACTCTTTTTGTACAATTACATTTTTAGAACTAAGCAAGCATTGGGTTTATATTGGCCTGTTCAAGGAATCATGTGGAAAGGAAATATTACAGTTTTAAAGGCTGCCATTCACAGTATGCATGGAACAGTGACAGTAAACTCCCAGCAAGGAAACTCCCACAAATGAAACTACCTCGTAAATTAAATAATTTCGGTACACATATTTGGTTTTACGGAGGTGCTATAAGGCACAGTGAATGAAACACTACAGATTTAGTTTGCACTGTCGAGTTTGCTTCGCGGGAGTCTACAGTACTGATTAAGAAACAGTTCAAGAAATGAGCTCAAAAACACTACGAAAAATAACAGCAAAAAAAAAAAAACTCATTTTAGAAATAGCAGCTAACACGCAAGACATCTCTGTCAAAGCACGATACACACGCATGGCTAAGGCATTTAATGCCAGAATCTTCGATCCTTAACAAAACATTTGTGAACAGTGAACAGTCCTCACGGGTCAACAAGCAGGTGCCTTCACTGCGCACCTCGACCAGCAAGCGATCGCGCAAACATCCACACGGCACCGACCGCAAAAAAAAAAGAACATAAATTGAGAACTGTTTGACGGGAAGCAATAAATTAGATGCACAGTTCGTTTTCCGAGCACGGCGAACCCGTATTGTGACTGGAGGAACGTTGTGAGGACCGCGCGGTGGCCACCGACGCGGCCTGGATGGGGCCGGCCGAGTATAGTGGCATAAGCGGCGACACGGACGGCGACTTGGTGGCGAGCGGCGAGAGCGACGGCGAGAAGCTCGGGGACATGGCGGCCGCATAGCCCTCGACCCCGACCGGTGACCTGGGCAGGAGCACTGGCTGACTAGCGAGCCCCGTGTTGAGGGCTACGGGTGCGATGCTGCAGGGGGCCACGACACTCGTGAGGAGCGGCGGCGGAAGCATCTTGCGCGCTCGCGCCACGGCCTTGGCGGCCGCCGACGCGGATGGCCCCCCGTTTCCGTTGCCGTCGTCCTTTAGCCGCGCGATCTCGGCAAACACGTGCGCCAGCGGCTGATACTGGGGTCCCCAGTCCAGCAGGTAGTCCCAGTTGTACGAGCCGGTGAGCTCCTCCTCGCTGTGCACAATGGAGCTGAGCGAGCCCGTCATCGAAGGCTCAGTGTCGTCAAAACCGAACGTCCGCGCCTGCTCCGGCACGCAGCCGTCCGCCGGCGAGCCGACATCGTTGAGCTTGGAGTAGATCAGGCTCGAGATGTCGTCGCCGTCGTCCACAGGCTCCTCCTCCTCGTCGTCGTAGATGTGGACGTTCTCGACGCTGGGTTTGCGCGACGTCCACGAGTCCGACGACGCCGCCGTGTTGATGCCGAGACGCGCAAGGTACTCCTGCGTGTTGTGCACCGAGATGTCTGAGCCGTTGTCATCATCGCCGCCACCTTCCGCGAGCCGTTTGTGCATCAGGGGGCCCTCGTTGATCATGCGGATCTCTTCATCCTCGACGTCTTCGCCGTCCTCGGCGGACCCGCGGCCACTGGACGCCGAGTGCGACTGCTCGGAGACCTCGGACGTCGTGCCGCCGCCGTTCATGTGCGGCGTGTCGTCCGGGGTGTCGTAGTGCGAGATTTCGTTGTAGTGTGGCGGGAACTGCGGGATACCCGAACGCCCCGGGGCATGCCGGATGTCCACCGTGTCGAACGACGTGTCGAAGCCGGTGTCCACTGCCGGCTTTCCCACGCGCTTGTGGCGGAGCCGGAGAAGCACGATCAGCGTCAGCAGGACCGCCGCCACGATAGCGAGCACCACCACGAGTCCGACGCCCCACGCCGGTAGGCTTCCCGTGGCCTGCCGTTCAGCCACGCTGCTCGCGTTCAGGGTGAAGTCGACCGATATCTGAACCAGGACTGTCGTTGTGAGTGAACCGGGACGGCCGGTTCCCGCGACGACTTCGAGGTTGGCTTCGAACGGCCGCTCGTGCTCGTCGTGCCGCGTCGGTGGGACCTTGACCGTCACCACACCGGAGGTACCGTTGATCCGGAAGTGGGCGCTGCCACCACGGATCTGGTATACTATCTTCCCGTCAGGACCTTGGTCCACGTCCGTGGCTTGAACGCGCCCCACGATGTGGCCCGCCGGTGCGTCACCGGGCACGGCGAAACGGTACATCTTCTGCCGGAAGACCGGAGGGTACTCGTCCTTACTCGCGACGTCGACCTGCACTTGGACGGTCGCATACTTTCCGCCGGCGTCTGTGGCAAGTATCGTGAAGTAGTAGCGGTTTTTGGACTCGTAGTCGAAGACGACTTCGGTCGTGATGACACCTGTGTCGCGGTCTATCCTGAACTTGTCCCTGCCTTCACCCTCCGCCATCGTGTAGTTCAGCTTTCCATATAGACCTCTGTCCGCGTCCATGGCCCTCGCCGTGAAGACCGTGGTACCGATGGGCGAGCTCTCCTCGACGAACTCCGTGTACATCGCCAGAGGGAAGTGTGGGCTGTTGTCATTTTCATCCTTGATCCTGATGAAGACGCTGACCAGGGAGGACAATGGGCTCTCCAAATCACTGTCCATCGCCCGAACAACCAGTTTGAACTCGGGCACGGTGTCATAGTCGAGCTTGCCTCTCACGGTGATGGTGCCAGTCTTGGGATCAAGGGAAAACTTGTTGTCCTCGTTCCCGGAAGTGATGTCGTACTTCACCTGGGCGTGTCGGCCCTCGTCTTTGTCTGTAGCCGAGACCTGGATCACAACGGCTCCGGGCGTAGCCATCTCAGAAATGAAGACCTCGTAGTAGGTCTGGTTAAACGTGGGGGCGTAGTCGTTCACGTCGTCAATGCTGATGATCACTTGCGCTGTTGCGTTCATCGACGGCGTTCCTCGGTCTATAGCCACCACCTTGAGGGAGTACATCATGACCATTTCGCGATCGAGGGGCTTTGCAAGAATTACTTCACCCAAAGATCCGCTCACGACGAACGTTCCCCCGGCGTTGCCATCCATGATGCGGTAGTTGATGTTGTGGTTGTCGCGAGATATGTCAAGGTCGGTGGCCGAAACCCTGATGACGGTTGTACCCGGAGGAGTGTCTTCCCTGATGCTTGCCCTGTTGAAGACACGACAGAAATTAGGAATCAATAAATAAGAACACGCTCATGCATCGGTACCATAAAGTGCCGTCCTACACAGTCAAAGGCTTCATGTCTCTTATGCGGTCCACGACCTAGGAGGCAACTTCCGAGTACGGATCAAGTCGAGCAAGCAAGCAGCCGGGTGCCGAGTAGCAGATGCATCTCGGCCCGTTTCTTCACTGACCTGTAGGCGCTTTCCAGAAACCTGGGAGCGTTGTTGTTGACATCCGCAATCTGAATCCTGACAGCGGCTACGGTCGACCGAGAAGGAACGCCTCTGTCCGTTGCGCGAACGGTCAGCTGGACGACGGGTTTTTTGGGGTCGTACGACAGGCTCTTGTTGGTGTATATTGTGCCTGTCACCCAGAAAGAGTCCAAGCAAAAGCACTTGTGAGCACACAAATTCAGTTAATAATAATAATTGTAGTGCTGCTTTTTAAGCTTTGACTAAGGTGCAAAATTCTTGAACAGACATCGCTTATTTAAGAAAACACCTAATACTTTAGTAGTACAAACCATATTAACAAATGTGAACTCGGGCACGCTGACAGCACAAGCAAGAATCATACACACCCAAACTTGGAGGACCAATAAAATTTCACCTGCACGGTAATCACTTCGAAGTGGATATACTAGCAGTAATGAGAGTATAACGTTCAAATACGTATTCTGTAAAGCTACTCATAACAGCAACAAACATTGTCGCCAAAGCAGTAATTCTGTCTTTTTGTTTTTTTTTTGCCCCATCTAGTTTAACGTCCTTCCAAGAACCACGAAGATAGTGTGCCTTTCTTACCGGTGTTCTCGTTGATGTAGAAACCGATGGAGTAGCTTTCTCCGAGGCTGTACCAAATCTGGGCGTTGTTTCCCGAGTCCAGATCCGTAGCGTTCACAGTGATGATGGAAGATCCGAGCCCCGCTGATTCGGGCAAGATTGCCTACGAAGAGGTACAAGCCATTGTATTGAGTTACAAACTGCCGGTCTCGCTGAGCGTGCTCTGCGAAATTCTCAGGCTCGCATTTCCATAGAGAACATAGTCAAACGTTGTGACATGTAGAACAGCTTTGCAAAGGCTGAAACGAAGTAACACCATGTCCATAATCTAATATAGGTTGGGACTGTGTGTCTCAGGTGTGTGGTGGTCTTTCCCAGCACATCTCTTGTTTTATTATTTGAAAAATGCTAAAGCAACAGCTAAAGCAACAGCAACAGACAATGCTAGCATTGTCTCAGGTGTGTGGTGGTCTTTCCCAGCACATCTCTTGTTTTATTATTTGAAAAATGCTATCTCTGGCTCATCTTTCACTGAATCCCTGCACACGACGCAGTGACGGGTTTACTGCAGAATTTACCAGTCTGAGAAATCTAGGAGGCTCGAGCCTTTTCAAGTTCTTTCCGCCAGCCCTAACTATCTTCTTTTTCTTTTACATCTTTAGTGGACTAGCGCATTTTTACCTAGTCAGCTTGCAGGTACAAGGTCGTGAAGAGCATTCGTAGGGATCGTAAGGCTCGTTCACATATACAGTACAGAGTAAATCCAGTGCTAATTATGCTCTGTAAACAGCGCTGACTCAGTGTGCATACTTGATAGCAAAGCACTGATATTGCACAAGTGAGTAGTTTCCGTGGCACTCTCCCATGTTTTCTACCCAAGACACTGCAAGGATGAGTCACATTATGAATGTGGGGACCTATCCTCGTTTGAGACTAGCATTTTCGACGATGTGTGCAATGAACACCGTGGAAGCACCGAGCTTGCCCCGATACCAAAATCTTGTCGTTATCACTAAAAAGTTATTTGACTGTGACAGCAGACGGTATGAGGCTCGGCACCTAGAGTACTCCTATTGCCAGCTTGAGATGCCGTGAAATTGATGTCACTGTGGCGAGCAATCTCATTGCTAGTCGAAGAGGAAGGATTCTCAATGCTGAGAGGAGGAAATACAGTGTGGAATCAGTGCAAAATTCCATGCTAATCACAGTGCTGATTCAGCACCTCACCGCAAGTGTGTCAATGTGGCGAGTTGGTTCATGATTACAACTGGTAGCAGCACGCAAAAACACAAGGGTAAAGAAAGGAATTCGCAAGACAAGCCCTGAACTTCAACGGCCCTAACCTTTAAAGCCTGTTTACACATACCACAACAGTGCTACCTCGGTGCTATTAAGGCCAGTTCATATATAAATGCAGCTCCAAATCAACACTACAACCAGTGCTGATACAGGTCTCTATCAGCACTGTATCACTGACAGTGTGAAGACAGTGTTGCATCATCAAAGTCAGTGCTATTGCCAGTGCTGAGTAATAATGCCGAGGTAGCACTGTCGTGTACGTGCTATCGGGTCCTTAGTCAGCAATGGAAATAGTGCTGACCTTGCTTGTGCAGTGCTGACTTGGCATTACAGTACTGATACAGCACTGAGAGGACACTGTGTCAGCGCCAAGTTGCGTTCGAGTCAAAGCTTCACTGATTTACATCATCACGAGAAATGTGCGGACAATGCAACCTTTATGGTAATCCGCAGGTTCAAAAAGATGGCGGACACAGAATCGGGTGAAGACTTGGGTCCCAGCACTCACGTGGTAGGAGGGCTGCGTGAACCGGGGTGAGTTGTCGTTCACGTCCGTCACGTGCACCGTCACAAGAGTCTCTGCCATGTGCGCCGTGTCCGAAACGCGCAGCCGCAGCTGGTACAGGGACTGCCGCTCAAAGTCCAGCGGACCGCCCGCCAGCGTGATGCGTCCCGAGAAGCGGTCCACGGCAAACAGCGACGCCGAGCCGCCGCCGACATCGGCAAATGTGTACGTAAGCACGGGGTGGGTGTCGACATCGTTGGCCGTGATGGTTGTCAGCACGGAGCCCACCTCGGCACCTGGAGGAGAGGCGGGAGCGACGTGTTGAAGTAATCCCTGACATCTCGCTGTAAAGCCTCATGTCTCCGCCCATTTCGCAACTTGTTTCTTGGTCCTTATCTGTGCAGCATACCTATGCTGAGAGCAAGTCATCTGCTTCTAGCTCAGGGGTTACGGTGACGTCAAAACAACGACCAGTTTTGATTGGCTTTGATTGAAAGGATAGTAGATGTTAATGCTAAATTCCTTGAGGCTTACCCACTATTTTGTTCTTCAACCAGCCAATAAGAGCTCAGCATTCTGACATCATCGCAACCCCTGTGCAAGAAGCAGACAAACTTACGTCTTCAGCGTGTTGTTTTAAATGGTAAAACTTCAAATATTGTTATGGTAACATCTGGTGTACCGCAAGGGTCTGTTTTGGGTCCATCGTTGTTTCTAATATTTGTTAATATTATTAATGACAGTGTTAATTCACAGGTACGATTGTTTGCAGATGATTGTGTTGTTTATACATGCATAACAGACGAGGGGAGTTCCACGCGGCTGCAGTGTGATCCGAATCGAATAGAGCAATGGTGTAAAAAGTGCAAGATGGAGTTAAAACATTAAAAAATGTGCACATGTTAGCTTTTCCCGCAAAACCAAAAAAAAAAGTTGAAACATGTTACCAACTGAATAATGAAATCTTAACAAAACAGCAAACAGTTAAATATCTTGGCGTCACTCTGTCAGCTAACTGCACCTGGAACGCACACATTAACGACGTTGTTATGAGGGCCGGCAGAGCGTTTGGATTTTTAAAACGAAATTTAAGGAAATCAACTAAACCTGTCAAAGAGCTCGCCTATCTGTCTTATGTACGCACAGTGCTAAAGTACGCCTGCACCGTTTGGGATCCTTCTCAGCAAAACCACATTGTTGCTTTAGAAAGAATTCAGTGTCGTGCCGCTCGTTTCATTTCGGTGCGGTACGGCTGCTTTGAGAGTGTAACCGACATGATAAAAGAACTGGGATGGTCTACATTGGCATTACAACGAAGAAATTTGCGCTTGAAGTTTTTATACAACATTTATAACAATAAAACTGGCATTAATAGCTCATTTTACTTATTACCACCAAATTATATTTAAAAAAGAAAAGACCACATTCATAAGATTAGAGAATACCGCACCAGGACGGAATTGGGCGAAAATTCTTTTTTTTGTTAAAACAATTAAGGAGTGGAATGCCTTGCCCAGTGCGATTGTGTGTGCCGCGAATTTAGAAATGTTTTTTTTAGGTTTATTCGTCCCCTGCGATAATGCCTGATGGCGCTGCAGGACAATGATGAATAAAGAATAAAGGCTCATCAACAAAGCCACGAAGGCATAACGGCGTTAGAAGCATGCCGAACTAGTGCCATTCGGTCGTAGCTCAAACGGGCAAAATGAGAATGGGTCTAGTTGCGAAAAACACGATTCCGATCTTATGAGAAGGTTCAAACGAGAAGGACCAAATGAGAGTGGGTCGAAATGTGCAAGGTGCAAATGCGAATGGGACGTTTTGAGATACACCCCACAAGCGAGCCCGGCATACCTTCGCTGATGCTGACGACGCTGTCGGGCGGGAACACGGGCTGGTTGTCGTTGATGTCGACCACAGCGATGCGCAGCGTGCACGTTCCGGTGAGCTGGGGCTCCCCCTCGTCCGTGGCGATGACGGTGAGGAGGTAGGAGTCGCGGATCTCTCGGTCCAGCACAATGTTGGTCTTGACGATGCCGCTTAGTGGCGGCTCCATGACAAAGGCGTTGTCGTGGTTCCCCTCCACAATGTGGTAGAGGAGGCGCCCACCCCTGTCCTCGTCCAGGGCAGAGACCTGCGTGTGCAGAGGTGCATTGCTCAAGTGTCAATCACAGTGATTCTACATCACACATGTCCCGACATTGGACTCATTTAACAATGATATTATTAATAAAATTAATAATAATGATATTGACAATTTATTGCACAGAATGGAGGCAAAGGTTCATCAAAGTCAGCAAGGGCTCGTGAGACTGAACCACGGTAGTATGAGTGACAGGTTTGATCAAGGAAAGAAAACCTCAAAAGAACACCCGAATGCTAGAGGAAATAACCACTTGAGTAAGGACAATCCCAAACAAAATATACCATCAAACCAAAACGTAACACACAAAAAGGTAGCTTTTGCCTCCAGTATGGCAGTAGAACGTTAACAAAAAAACTCCGAGAAAATAATTATGATGATGATTGTGATCATCCTCTTTATCACGGGATTTTTTTCCTTTGAGAGTTCAATGCTTGGTACTGTGTCAGCCAAAGTCAAAGTTGGCTTCTGTGATTGAAGCACAGCAAGGAAACTTGTTCTTAGTAAAGGCCATGCAAAGGGAGGTTTGTTTTCAGTCATTAACCAGGCACGCTATTCGAAGGCGCATTCATGTGGACAAGCCCCCTAGTTTAGTCTGTCTGCTACTGTAGCACCTACCTAAAGGATATAGTGCCCGTTTTCCCCACTTTTGTGGCAAAGGCACTGGTAACAAAGAATGTAAAGCAGAACAAAAGCTAGACGCCCAGCGCTACACATTTTTAGATGCTTTAACATAAATAAACAAGCAGCGAAATATCACCTGCAATGACGGTATCTTGTTGTTTTCTAGCTTTATTTTGCATAAAAAAACCGGTGTCGTGCGTTGTAAAAAAAGAAAAGATGTTAACAAGCACTCAAACTACCTCAACTCGTCGCAACAAAGTGAACGCGACGAACCTATCACCCGCTTTCTTTCTCCGCTTTTCTGTCGCTCTCTTTCGCATACCTTCTCTTGGGCAGCCCAGAGCTTCATATTTTAGCCTCTGCTAGGAGTAGAACGTTGTCTCGTTTGTAACTCGGCATGACCCGTGGGGAGGAGCTAACTCGGATGTACCTGAGCAAGACGTTTGGTTTGCACTTGTGCCCAATCAGTGATGAGCCGAGCGCTGCATCAGCGATCGGCCGGCAGTCAGCGTTTCGTTTTCCATTTCTGGAGTGTGAACCGGAATATGGTTAGCTGCCAGCCGTATAATACATTCGGTGTTAAAGAACACAGAAAAACAAAGACGGTCACCAGGTGCAGGGAACGGCAGAACAGACTCGCAAGAGATCCTACCTGGGCCACGAAGGTGCCCTTGCTGTTGCCTTCCCAAACGGACGACACATAGCGCTCCTGAGAGAAGCGTGGAGCGTTGTCGTTCTCGTCGATCAGGTCCACCGTCACGGTGGCGTAGCCATACATGGTGGCTCTGCCTTCCGCCTTGGCAATGACCACGATCACCAAGCTCGCGTTCTCCTCGTAGTCCAGTTGCTTCGGATCCCTGATGCGTATGGTGCCTGCGCAAGGAACGACACAACGTTGGCCGACATCCTTGCCCGACGTTGCGGACTGACGAGCCAACAACGTAAACCCGTGCGTCGTATGTTCACCGCAAACAGATAATGGTTGTAAGCTTGTCCTAGGTATACTCCAGGAAGGAAGCTCTATTAATATTAACCAATGTGAAACGCACAAGTTGCGATCATGGGAACATTTGCATTGCACTTCTCCAGGACACTTTCACGTTACACTTCCCTGTCAACTTTCTTCTGAGGGGACGTCTTTTTACGAAACAATGGCCCTATGCGAAACCTGTGCAAAAGAAAGTTTTCGGAAATTCAGCGTTCCGTTGATAAAGTCGCCGTCACCCTGCTAATAATACACCATACAAAAGACCGGCTCCCGCTACACTGCCTGAACTATGTTTCTCTCTTGCAAGATCGAGTTCTATTGGTGTACTCCGCTGACAGCATCTTCACGAACCAGACTGCACAACTAAGGAAAAATAAAAGTGTCTGTTCATTACGACGCCTCGCCGACTGCACTTCCCACTCCCCACATCTGCTCTGACCTCAACAAACACTTGCTCGAACACCGCACCGGAGACCTCTCCGCTTCAACGCGTTCATAAAACTGTTATTCTTGCAGCCGCTGAGGCTTGAAACTAGGGCCGACGACGAAGCTCTTTCTAAGGAACACGCGCAGCACAAGTGCCGAGTTCTACATGACCCGGCACAGCCAAAAAATGACTTTAAAATACAAGCGTGTTTTTCGTAGCGAAGTAAGGGAAACCGGGCTCACGACAGGGTACCACTAGTATGGTCTCTTCAGGGTACCACTAGTATGGTCGCATCTTCGACTCGTTTGTTTACCGCGTCCAAAAAAGGAGCCCCTTAATTTCTGCCTGATGACGTCCATAGAAGTGTCATGCTGTCGCCAGTCGCGATCCTGGCGGCGTCCCAATAGCTGCGGTGTATCTGGCAGGCGCCTGTTCTGCTGCAGGTCGCCCTCCAGTGGGGCAGTCCACGGAAGCATCGGCAGCCAGAAGTTAGGAAGCCTTGACGATGGCTACACTGACGTTCAGTTGTGCCACTCGCAGCTTCTCGTTGGCATTTTTATGACCAACCGCCAGAATTACGACATGCAACGGCGTGACACTTGGACTTCTGTGGCGTCATTGGCTGCCACTTCGGGACCACGTTTGATGTATGGGCAGCATAGGACGCTAGACACACCAGTCAAAGACGCGCTTTATGGCACCATACCACTAGTGGCTTATAGAAGACTCGTCTGGTGGGATTGCTTGCAACCAAGGCGCGGACTTTATCTGGCAGCTGCGACACGTGCGCAGTGACCGGACCTATACGTTCTACGCCGCGTTGCGGCTTTAGGGGGACACTCGGACGGGGCATGCTCACCGCTGGTGGGGTGGATGCTGAAGGGCCCGCCGTCGCTCTCTGAGCTGAAGCCGTAGGTGATGGGCAGCGAGGGCTGCTCCTGGGGGAAAGCCTGCACCCGCAACACCTCGGCGCCCCTCGGGGAAACCTCCGAGAGCCGCACCCGGTACGTCTCGTTCTGGAAGCGTAGCCAGGGCACTGCCGCGGCGCCCGGGCCCACTTGGACCTCCAGCACCCCTGCGGAAGTTGTGCAAGGCGCGGTGAGCTTCTGGTTCCTCCTCGACGCGTTTGCTACAAGCACCTTTGCAGATTTTATGGGAGACTTAGGTTTTGATACGAGCTTCGCAAGTACCAGAGCTAGGCTTTTGAAATTTATGCCAGCTTTCTAGTTTGGTAAGGTAGAATTGCATTCTTAGATAAACTAACTCCGATCTGGCCTTGAAAAATGTGAGTGAAGTGTGGCCGGATGCTGAACACCGCGAGCTCCGCCAGCCACGCAACGAAAAGAAGAAAAGCAAGGTGGGAGAAGAAAACGCGAAGAGTTTGAGATGCTTCCGCAATGCTTCACCAGCTGCAAAGGCTCCAAAAGCAACAAGCAAACAAGAAAACGAGAGTACAAATCAAGGACGTGGCAACACTGACACGGCATCGCGTGCCTGGAAGGCTGTGACTAGAGCCACTAAATGAGCTACGTTTAGAGTGTCGGCAACCTGTTTCCCGATATTGTTGTGGGCGCTGCCATCTTGGTGCTAAGTGCAGAGCAGACGCAACTGCCGACCATCATGATTTAAAAGTGTGACTTCCTTAGCATTAGATTTGGTGTTAGGAAGCTCATGTAACATTGCTTCGCTCTGTCGCGACCTGTTTAAACATTTGTGGAGCACGGAAAAGCGTTTCCTATGATTTCAGATAAAGCTACAGAAAACTGGCAATCATAATTTTATGCCCCAAGATGGTGAAGTGTTGTTACTCTGAAGTGTAGCTTATGTAGTGCCTCTAGCTGTGACAGCAGATTGTTTCCACTGCATTCCTTATGAAGTTCATTCATAAACCATCATATGCTATCCTGCATATGATGGTTTAACAATGAACCAAAATAAAACTAATCTTTCTCACTTTGGGACTATCGCAGACATTACGAGCTGCAACAGTTATTCGTAGTTTGTTTGTTTACCTGCTAGTTTCTAAAATAATTGCGTGGCTTAAACATTCCGTCAAACAATTAAATAATTCTAGCCCGATAAAGATCAATTGGTTCTTTGTGCATCATACGTGTCATCTTGCACCAATCTTTCTATAAAAAAGCGTGCTACATTTTTTTTTTATTACTTAGAAATATTCCTTGACATTCATAACCTACGAAATACACGTTAGTTTTTTTCCTGCACAATGGCAGTCGCAGAAATATTTCAAGAAAAATGAGCAGTGTATGCCCCCTCTACTCACAGCCAAAACAAGGGGCCACATGATCTGGAGCCATGGCAAGACACGAGATGCAAGTGTTTGCGTTGTCGAGGCTTACAGACGTAACCCGCGTCTTTTCAAGGATGTCGCACGAGGGTACAAAACGGAGCGCCGCAGCTCACCTGTGGACATCTTGGGCGGCCTTCCACGGTCCTTGGCCACAATGTCCACGTGAATCACGCGTCCATTGTCGGAGAGCAGGCTTCCGGCAACCGTGACCAGCCCAGTGTCCGGATCCAGGTGGAACTTGTGCGACATGGCCGGGTTGGCGAAGCTGCGAGTTCGAAACAAAAGAGCAGTGGCATTAGGACACGAGTACTAGACTATCAACAGCACAACTCGATTGATTTTTTATTTTTTATAATCTAATTGTTTACTATTTGGAATGCATCTCCAGCTCTTTATTTTGGTCCTGTCACTTTTCAGCTGGCGAGATCACAACCGTGGCTGCACCTGAAAAGTTATTACCGTAATATCCCGAGATTCTCTCCCCCCCCCCCCCTCCAAAAGATAACCCACTCTGTATTTTTGGCTCGATTTGCAATTTTTTTAATAATTGAAACAAGTGCTATCTAGGGTTGTCGCAAACTTGCCCAGGTTCAAGTTCAACTTTTTCGAACTTTCAACCTGATGTTCGACAAAGGTTCGACTGAGTTCAACTTTTGTGCCTGTGTGCAAAAACTAAAAAAAACAAAAAAACAGTTGGCTTTATTCGGCGGAGAAGTGCAATATTTGTTGGACGTATTGGCATAACTGGTTCACATTAATAACTAATGAAACCATTAAAAGTGCATATTTTAACTTTTATATGATGTAAACATTGGTAACCATTTTATAAAATATAAAATAAACTATTTTCAAAATTATTTGTGTCCAAAAATACGAAATACTCGTGTATTTCATCAAACGTCTTCGAACGTTAGTGAAAGTTCGACAGTTTGGCGAACCAGTCGAACCTCAAGATTCGACGTCAAAATCGCGGTTCCACAAAAGTTTGTGACACCCCTAGTGCTATCACATCTAAAATTGCGACTTGTACGCTGGAAAACGCGGTAAATATGCGTGCGTCCCAACCTGTAGAAAATGTCGGCGTTGGGTCCGTCGTCTGCGTCCGCCGCCTGCACGTAGGCCACCTGGGTGCCGGAGTGGGCGTGCGCGTTGACCTTGGCCACGTACGGGTACTTGGCGAAGGTGGGCCGGTTGTCGTTGACGTCCACCACGGTCACGTGCACCACGGAGCGCTCCCAGCGGGCGTCGTACTTGCCGCTGTCCGACGCGCGGACCTCGAACATGTAACGCGCCTTCTTCTCCCGATCGAACACCCTGAATGGAGTTAAAGGTACAAAAGATTAAGCATAAAGGAGGCAATAAGAGCGGTCAAGCGTTGTACCTAAAGGCGTATTTTTCTTAGAAATCATAACTAAACAGATTTCTAAAATACCCAGGCGTGGCATTTATAATTTCTGAATTTAAACTCGCTATTTAGAAAATGGCAAATGAAGGTTATGCCAAGACCAACATTCAAATTTTCCCTCACTCTCCTGTGGGGTGACATGACATGTATAATTTTGAAGTAGAGCAGGCAGTCCAGAAAACACATTATTAAGGCGAAAGCCCTATATGTCTCATTGTTCAGTCGACGGTCCTTGAGCGAAAACACGTCAACAAAACGAAAAGTATGAAAACACGTCGACGACACGAAAGGTGCGAAAGCGCGTCAGCGACACGAAAGGTGCAAAAACCCACGGTTACGCACGGGACCAAGAGGTGGCGTTACTTGTGCCAGAATCGGCAGGGGCACGCGAGCGGTGCAAATCCAGCAGAAGAGGAGAAAACTCTCGCTCGGGCACCAGTGAAGAGCGGGCGGTCGACATACCGAAAGATTAGCGAGTTTTAGTAGGCCGTTTTACCCCCTCCGCTAAGCCCCTGCACTACCCGGAACTCTACGGCCAAGGGCAATCGGGGCGAAGGCGCAGTGACAGTTTCTTCGTAGCAGAGGGGGAAACACGGTCTACTAAAACCTCCTATTAGCGTGCTGTCTTTGGAGGTTTGCTATCACCGGGATCGGCACTTGGGCTTTCGCCTTCAAGTCGTCTTAGGGATAACATTAGAGAGGGATAACATTAGAGAGATAACAGAGTAATATGGCAAATTGCCTAGCAACTTGCCATATACTCTGTTAATGTTTTATGCTCTTTATTGTGAAACATTCTTTGGCTAGGTGTTCGTCATTTCATAAAACCCAGATAAAAGTGAAGCCTGAATGAAAGCGCTGCCGCGAGGGTCGACACTGATTGGAATCGCAGTAAAAACGTGTTTTGTGACAGGCGGGAATTGAACCCAGACCATTTTTATTATTAAGCGAGTGTCTTAGTCACGACACATCACCGTGAGTTGAGGTGCTATTAACGTGAAATGTTCTTTGGCTAGTTATTTGCTTGGTATATCATGAGGCCGAGGTTCCACGCTGATTGATCGACGGGTAAAAAAGGAGTGAGGTGCTCGACGCTGATTGGTTAATGGGGAGGTCGTGTCACCAGAGGAGTAGGCGAGGAGGAGCTCGACCACATGTGCACACTAAGGGAGAGAAGCTCGAGAGTATGTAAGGCTCTGGGAGATCGACATGCTTATCAGCCTGACTAGCGGCAGCATCACCTCATTCTAGGAACAACTACCAAGTGTACACATGGTAACGTTAAACTATCTGACTAAGAGTGACGTGATTTCGTCGTGTTTGCCCTTGTTTTCCCCAGTCTCAGGGTTGTCTTAAATAATGAACATAGACGTCTGGAAACTCAAAGTGTCATTAAACGTTTGTGGTGCTAAGACGTTTCATGCATCCAACACAATTGCCTAGCAATTTGCCATATATTTTTATAGGTACTTCTTCGTGCATTGTACACCGAACTGCCGCAACGAATCAAAGATGACGGGGTCACTGCATGTTGCTAAAAAGGTCCTTTACCCGGCGGTGGTGATGACTCCGGTATCGCTGTCGATGTTGAACAGGGAGGCCGTCTCGTTGCCGAGCGAGTAGGTCACGTGGCCGTTGGAGCCTTCATCGTGGTCTGTGGCCTTGACCACGAGCACGGTGGTGTTGACCGGTGCGTCCTCGGGCACTGTGGCGCTGTACTCGGAGTGCTCGAACTGGGGGTCGTTGTCGTTCTGGTCAAGCACGTGCACTGTCATGTTGCAGGTGCCGGACCGGGGCGGGCTACCCCGGTCCCGTGCCAGGACCGTCAGGTGGAACTGCGACTGCATCTCCCGGTCCAGCGGCCGGCTCGACAGGCGTCCCGTGCGGGAGTCCACGCCAAACTTGTTGCCCGCGTTGCCGTCTGCGTCAAACAAGAAAGACAGAGACACATTTGTGCACAATGTTCGTTTTTGGGAGGGCCGAAGTTTGAACTTCGATTTAGACGGAACATTTCAGAGGAATCAATGGTGGTATTAAAGTGTATCATTGTGGCGAATAAGTTTCGGGCCAAACCTATGGGGAAACTCCAGGGTTCTTAAAACTTTTGATCTCGAGGAACCTTTATCTGGCTTGATCGGAAGCTGAGAAATCCCTCCCTGTCTTGGCACTGAAGCAATAAAACGGTACAAAAGCCCACAGACCTTGTAAACAATAATCCAAATACTAGGAAGTGCTTGGCTCATGGCTATGCAATAATGAATGGTTCACATCCACTAAAACCGAGCTTAAGCTTGAAAATATCTTTACTTTGGGGTAGGAATGGTTGAGATTGGGGAGTTGAGGGAGTTCATGAGGACGAGCCCCCAGCCCCACCCCACGCATACACACACACACACACACACACACACACAGAAAGGTCACTACTCGCCACGATCGGCGGTTCCCTTCGCCCCACATTTGCCTCCTCGCCAGCGATGGAATAGACCACACAATGTTGTGGAGCATTACTCAGCATAAATAGTAGTGCTCTCCTCTGAATGCTCTTCTCTGAAACTCTCCTCTGAGTTTTAGCAAATAAGAGCTCTATTAAATCAACTACTAAGAGGGAAGGAGCATAAGATGATGCCAGTTAAGCCATGCTTTAGTGGCAGGAGAAATAAAGAAGTGTCTGGTATTTTAAACCAGTACATCCGTTTGAGTGATGCTCCGTGTTCTTTCTTGTATCCGGCTTCCTTGGGTATACCTTCATAACAGATGTTTATTCTATTTCCACTCAGTGTGACACTCCGGTAGTCTTTGCCAAATTTCAGATTTATGTTCATCTAGTCGTAGCATTGACAAAATAACTTCAAGACACAGCTAAATTCTTATCAGTGATGACGTAGACCAGATGATGTCTACTCTAACTTCACCCAACGTGGTGCTACGGTAGCCTAGAAAAGATTTGAGAAATATATGTTTGTCGAGTCTTAGAAGTGACAAAATCACTTCTAGAAACAGTTAAGTTCTCACCAGTAATAGAGCAGACCAGATGACTTCGCTATGGTAGTCTCGGAAAGATTTCAGAGATTTACGTTTAGCTAGTCCTAGGGGTGACAAAATACCTTCCAGAGACAGTTGAACTATCACCAGTGAAGGAGTAGACCAGACAACACCTATTATATCTCTGCCCAATGTGACACTAGAGTAGTCTCGGAAAGGTATGAGAGATTTATGTTTTAATGCGAAAGCATTTAACTGTCCCATGGAGCGAGCCGATGTCATCAGCCGCGCCAAACGGCACCTAAATTCCCCTGTCCCAAAAGAACGAAGTGAAGCCGCGATGTGAGGCATCCCAGCTTTGAAGCCGCTCAAAAAGCCACGCAAAACAGCAGATAAATTCACCTCTTCGAAAGGAGCGAAGTGATGAACTATGCTTCCATTGGCTGGCGCGCGTCATCAAGGAACGAGAATCCCATTGGGTCATGTGCTACATGGTTCCAAATGCCACCACCAGAGAAGCCCTCTCCGTGGCGGCGCAGCGCACGTGGCGGCCCGGCGATGTGCGGCGGTGCCAGCGAGCCTGGCCGCCTGGTCACAGACCCCGTTCGGGCAAACTCGGAGGAGATTGTACAGTCGAGCTAAGCGCGGCTCACAAGAGCGCGCGCTCGACCGTCGGCCGCCTCTGTCGGCCGCTACCTTGACCGTACCGAAACGTGGCCGCCTACGTTACTAGGCCGCAGACGAACTACCATAATTTCCCGAGTCATCGTCCACCCCACTTTTTGGGCCAATATCGATGTAGAGAAACAACAAAAAAAAAAAAAAACAGTGTCATCGCCCACCCCTTTAAAAACGGCAGCGCTGACTCCGCGATCAGTGAACATGCATCCTACCCGAATAATGCGGCCGCGGACGTTACAGTTGGAGGACGTCGGTGACAAAGTAAAACGAAGGAGGGAAAGACACTTCTCTACTTAAGCATTTCCTCCGCGAGCGACCCGAAGTTGTAGTGCATCCGTGCGAAAAGAAAACGATGGAGATAACAAAATAAAAGTTTGTTTAGTTTTCAAAAAAATGGTCGCGTCAGAAAAAAAAAAAGTAAGAAAGATAACAAGGCAGTAACCCATTTAGAGATTGCGAGGTAAGCGGACGCCCTGTATTCTGGAATGTTACCGCGGAGTGTAAGGTCAAAGTTTGTCTCCGCCGAAGTAACGTCGCCGCGAACCCGCTTCGTCTCCCGGCACGTCGCGACGGCGGTTTTGCAATGTTTAAGACAAAGGCAACAGGGCATAAAGCTTTGCTGGAACGCCGCACACAGACATTTGTAGAGCCTGCCATTTCAAGCTCCGTGTTCGTGGTGCCGTCCACGCCACGCAGCAACGCCGCCTTAACCCGCGTTGATAGCACGCAGTGCACGAACGCACGCATGTATGCACCAAGCAAGAAAGTTGCGCAAGAGCTTGCAATTGACAAGGCGCCCGACTTGGCCCGACGCCAAAGTATTTGCTAACGCGATCGCAGGTTTTCTCGCTTACGCTGCATCGCTCTTCGTCACCTTTTTCGTCCACTCGCTCGCTCGCTCGTTGCGCCTGGTTGGCTTTTCTAGTCTCTTCTGGCCTTTTTTTTAACTAATGAGGAGAACAAAACTGTGTAACGTGCTTTCACGGAACAAACATTCGCGCTGTATGCCGATCGGCGGTGTTCGTGGCACGTATGCAAGCAACGGACCTCGCGATAGTAAAACTTGCCTTCATGAGCATTTTTTGTAAAAAAAAATTAAGCAAATTCGAGTTTTGAGTTTAATATATCTCTTCTGTAGCCGCACTAAATACGCACAAAAAAAGGGCATTTTTTTTTTCGACTTTTTTAACTTGTGCTCACTTACCGAGTCATGGCCCACCCCCCTTTTTTATGAATTTCAGGCCGGGGGGAGGGGGCAATGACTCGCGATATTACGGTAAGGGAGTGGAGGAACGGCATTCATGCTTTCACATTCACCACTCCTAAGAAGTACTTAGGTATCCTTGGACTTTTTTCTAGTCTTGGCAGTGACAAAACAACTTCTATAAGCAGTTAAATTCTCACATGTGATGAAGTACACCAGGTGATGTCTATTTTAGATTTACGCAATGTGACACTCCTGTGTAGTCTCTGAAAGTTTCGAGAAATTTACGCTTATTTAGTCCTAGAAGAGAAAATACAACTTTTAGAAACAGATCAATCTTCACCGTTGATGGAGTGGACCAGGCGACGTCTATTCTATTTCCACTAAATGTGACACTGCGGTATTCTCGGAAAGATATGAAAGGTTTACGTTCATTTAGCCTTAGCAGTGACAAATTACCTTCAAGAAACGGTTTCTCACCAGTGATGGAGTAGACGATGTCCGCATTGGGGCCGACGTCCTCGTCAGAGGCAACGAGCGTATGGATCACCTTGAGCTCGTTGTTCTCGGGGACGTAGAGCGGGTGGCAGGAGTCCCTGAACTTGGGCGAGTGGTCATTGACATCCAGCACGCTCACAACCACCACGCACGTGTCGAAGTGGAACGACCCGTCCGTCACGTACACGGCAAACTCGTACGTGGCAGTGTCCTCGCGGTCAAGAGGTCCCGCCGTCTCCACGACGCCCGTCCGCGCGTTCACCGTGAACTTGTTGCCGGCCACGCCTTGCGGGATGCTGTAGCTCAGGTTGGTTGAAGCGCCTGCGGGGCAAATGAACAGAGATCAACCCAATGCAGGAATGAAGCGAACACCCACGGTTCGATTTTGGTCGCCGCAAGAGCGAGGCCTTATTTGCCTCTTGCGGAGCAAATGAAAATGGCGTTAGCAGACAGTTCGTCTGAGGATGCGAGCGAAGAGCGTGGTTCATCTGCCAGCCATGGCCGAGTAAGCACTCGGAATTCACCAGCCCCGTTTAGGGCCTAGTCGCCCAGAGCGACTTGGATTGTGAGGAGCCTCTTCTGGTAACCGAAGTAATCGCGAGGGGAGGATGTCGATCATGCTCCTTACTCTATCAGTTGACTTTTACCTGAAGTTCCGATGTCACATTCCCGCTGTGCGATCCCTTTTAGTACGTAATGATTAACCCCGTGATGTTGTGAGTCTCCCTGGAGAGCTATGCCTCGTTGGGAACGTCCCACAGCTATGCCTCGGTTGCTTCTATGCCTCGGTTGCTTCTGAGTCCACAGGCAACCGTCTTGACTTTGAGTCCACAACTGTAAGTCCACGACTCTGAGTCCACAACTGTGAGTCCACGGCAACTGGTTGCCCGTGGACTATACTATGTTTCATCTCAAGTCCGGCCGCAGCCGACGCTGCGATCCAATGGAGGCAATCAAACAGGGCCCAAAGTGCATCGTCACTGTGCCCATCATCTTTGTAAGTTTGCTAGCTCTCACTGACTCAACCAATCACGTGCACAATTAAGACGCCGCGATGCTGCGCTTCTTTTCTTGTGCGATTGGTTTAGCCGGTGATAGCTCACCCACCATAAAAAGAGCGCCATGACAATGCTGTCTCGGCACTTCTTGATTGGCCCCATCGGATTTAGGCATAGCTACGTTGGGCTATGTACGACTCGCCACCGGCCATCGCCTGCTGACTAGGCATGCTGGACTGAGTATGACTTGTTGTCAACCGTCGCCTGCGAACGAGCTACGCCGAACTAAAAATGACTCGCCGCCAACGGTCGCCTGTGGTGAAGCAGGCTGGACCAAGTATGTCTTGCCGCCTACGGTCGCCTGCAGGCTAAGTGTGCGGGATTAAGCATGACGCGCCAGTGATGGTTGCCTCCGAACTGAATATGACGGAATAGGTACGCGTCGGCGCCAATGGTTGTTTTCGGACTTAGTATAACTCAACTCCGACAGTTGCCTTAGGGTAGGTACACTGGACTACCGTAAAATACTGGGCTAGCGCCCACTCAAGATTTTGAGAGAATCGCGAAAAAATGGGGGATGGGCGCTTGTCCGTTTATCAATTTTACATATCAATGTACTGTGCATATTTTCTCAGATCTTACAAATTAGGGTATGGGCGCTTAGTGTGGGATGGGCGGTTGCACGGCATTCTACGGTAAGTATGAATCACCGCCAATGGTCGCCTACGGGCTAAACGTGCTGGACTAAGTATGACTCGCCCCCGACTATCACCTGCATGCTAAGTATGCTGCACTAAGCACGACATGGCGCCAACGGTCGATGTGGACTAAGTATGCCTCATCGTCGACGTCGACTGCGGACTTAATAAGCTGGTACAAGTATGACTCGCCTCCAATGGTCGCCTCCATACTAATTATGCAGAACCAAGTATGCTGGACAAAGTGTCAATCACCGCGAGCGGTCGCGCGCTGCCATAGGCGATCGTTGGCGGCAGGTCATGCTTCGTTCAGTTGCTTGCGCTTTCTTTCATCTACATGTGGCGCCTAGCAATAATGCCGGACTACGGATTGCACGGTCCAGGGTTCGATCACATCCGAGCTCCTCGGCTAATCTTTCTGGTTAGGATTATTTGTTCTTCGTTACGATTATGCCTGAATTAGTATTATGTTTAATTATGCCTTTCTATATGCCTCGAACGATAGTCCATTTCCTGCTACGGGCTATGCACTCTCTACGTTACCTTGGCCCGCATGCAACACTTTTTCGTCACACTCGAGCGTTACACTTGCGTATGAAGTCCGGTCCATAAACACATTTTGCATTAAAAAAAAGTACAACGGAACAGCAATTTAAAATAAAAACAATCGCGGAGATTTCTATAATACATTTTTGATTGTTTGCAGAACGTCTGTGTCAAGCTTTAGCACTTTGCGCAAACGTACACGCACAAAGCTTCAATGCTTTGCACTACTTTCTCAGAGGAGCAGCCGACCCAGAAAACACCTCGGTAAGCTCGGTGGGCTCAAAAGTTTGCAGGGGGTGGGTGCTAGATATGTTCTTCGCTGGTATTTGAAATGTTTCAAAAGAAGGGTGTGCGCGCATTCTTACACAAGCGCATACTCGGCATATTACGGTACGCGCCTCTGACTGGTGCGTTTAACCCGTCCTCAAATGTGCTGCCTCGATTTCTGCATGATGACGTTATAAAAGTGCCAAGCTGTTGCCTACCGCAATCCTGGAGGTGGGTGCGGCAGAAGCCTGTACTTCTGTGGCTCGCTCTCCACTCGATAGCCGGCAGAAGCTTCTCCGGCAACAAGTTGGGATGCCGTCATGACAGCAACACTGACATTCACTCTTTTTTTTTTTTCAACAAAACTTTTACGATTGATTGCCGAAATCGCGATATCTGACAGCATGACGCTACGGCTTCTGTGACATCATTTGTTGAGACTTGGGGACCGCTTTCGATGAACGAACAGTATATGGGTAAAACCTGAGGGAGAGGAGGGGACGAGAGTGCATGGGGACATCGGAGCACTGTCTCTGGTTGGAGCGATTAGGGGGTAGATGCAAAGCTAGCTGACTTTGTTTCTACTCACTGTTCTAACGCGAACGCAGGCTTCCGAACGCGTTCTAACAGCAATTAGAGACAAAGGCAGCTTGCTTTGCGCCCACCCACTAATCATTCGAACCAGAACTCAGTGCCCCGATGTCCCCGTACTCTTTCGTCCCCTCATGTCTCTCAGTTAATTTCTATTCATATAGGGCTCTAAACACACGAGTCAGAGTATTTCCATTTGTATTTGGTATTTAACTCCGCAGAGTGAGGTCGGCACTGAAGGCTACAGGCCCATACCCGTAGGCTCGCGATGCCTTGCAAGTTTCGAACATAAATGCGTATATACATACATACATATACAGAGGGGAGAGAAAAGAAGATAGACGGAGGCAAGGGTGCAGTTTAGGAACAGTGAAGAAAGGGCATAGCGTCCTTGCTGAACTCTTTCGCAGTTAAGTCACAATCCAGACGCCGTTTTCTTCCGACGGCCAAAGACCCGTCTGAGCATCTCACCCAGGTCTTTGTCGGTGGCGTGAACGGTGAGGACGGAGGTGCCGACGGGCGCGGACTCGGAGACGTTGGAGAGGTAGCGTTCCCTGAGGAAACGTGGGGGACTGTCGTTGACGTCCTGCACGTACACGTGCAGCACCTGGAAGGTGGACAGCGGGACGCGGCCGTGGTCGCTGACGCTCACGTTGAGCACAAAGTGGTGCACGTCCTCGCGGTCAAGGGGCTTGGCCACCGTCAGCACACCTGGTGGCGAAAGAGGCATGTGGCAGGGCGTGAGTCCTCACGTCGTTTCTACAGTATGAACGTCCAACGAAATCACAGACGAAGTTGTCCAATAAAATTTGGCTGTAGCCGGTGGCAGGTCAAGAATTTGGCAAATGCTCCATATGCAGTGCAAGGTTTTTGACTTGAATAATGCTGCCGAAGCCCGGCAGAAGTCAACAAGTGTGGACTGGAGGCAGAGCATGCGCTGAATTCTTAGCCTTTTTCACCAACTAAAAGGAGACTAATAGTAGAAAGTGTTATAATTATTTTAAAGCGCAGCTCTTAGGGGCCCGTTTCCGGCTTGAGCAACGTCGCCGTCGCCGTAACCGCGAGGTCACGTGACCCCCAGAAGTCACGTGACCCCCTGAGGCCACGTGACCCCCAGTAGTCACGTGACCCCCTGAGGTCACGTGACCCCCTGAAGTCACGTGACCCCCTTGAGGTCACGTGACCCCCTGAGGTCACCTAACCCCCTGAGGTCACCTGACCCCCTGAGGTCACGTGACCCCCTGAAGTCACGTGACCCCCTGAAGTCACGTGACCCCCTGAAGTCACGTGACCCCCTGAAGTCACGTGACCCCCTTGAGGTCACGTGACCCCTTTAGGTCACGTGGTACGTCAGCAACGTCGCCGTAACCACGAGGTCACGTGACCCCCAGAAGTCACGTGACCCCCTGAGGCCACGTGACCCCCAGTAGTCACGTGACCCCCTGAGGTCACGTGACCCCCTGAAGTCACGTGACCCCCTTGAGGTCACGTGACCCCCTGAGGTCACCTAACCCCCTGAGGTCACCTGACCCCCTGATGTCACGTGACCCTCTGAAGTCACGTGACCCCCTGAAGTCACGTGACCCCCTGAAGTCACGTGACCCCCTGAAGTCACGTGACCCCCTTGAGGTCACGTGACCCCTTGAGGTCACGTGAGCCCCGAGGTCACGTGACCCCTTAGGTCACGTGACCCCCTCGAAATCACGTGACCTCAAGGAGTCACCTATCCCTCAATACGCTTCCATCTTCCTCCTCAAGAGCTGCGCTCTAACCGGCGTTACAGGGAATTGTAAATGGCTTTCATTTTTTTGGGGGTGCCAAACACTGGCTGACAGTCCAGGCAAAAAGACAGGGCTGAAGCACATAAAGGACATGGGGCGTAAGAAATAACCCTTCTATGCCCACAGATTTCGTCATTCAAGTTGCTGGAAAGTTTTTGTTTAGTGTCTGAAAGTTATGACTTGCATGCGGGAGGGTATGGCAAACGGAGAATACGCTCGAAGAAAACTGGGAACTGCAAACCGTCTGCTTGCAAATGTTTTGGGGGATGTTTCCCCACTTTTGCAAAATGTTAAAGAAAAGGGCATCCAAGCTACCAGAAAAGCCATTACCTGTGTTGATGTCAAGAGCAAAATGTCCCTTTTCATTCCCACTGTTGATGACGTACGAGACGCGTTTGTTGTCGCGAGAGTCGTTGTCGGTGGCGATGATGTGTAGGACCGTGAAACCGACTGGTTCATCTTCCATGACATCAACTTGACCTGTAAGAGTATGAAAAGCAGTCAGGGATAGTGGAAAGTATACACTATAATCATAAAGACTCTTGTATTTTGTTCAAGATATCCTAATGACACAGGTTTTTTTTTTTGTTTCTCTCTCTTTTTTTTTTAAATGAGAAGGCGAGGCTGACAGGTCTTTAGAAGGCATTAGGAGGCAACATTGGGTTTGTTTTTCGCAGCCTTTCTGCCCACGATATGTAGAAAATTGACAATTTATTGAACAATGAATTGATAGACCCTCTTTTACTCGTTCTTCACCGGTTTTAGAAAAAGAAGGGAAGATGTGAATTTGTGTTTGCAGTAGTTATAATTAACTATTCTCAGGAAACCCCATACCCACAAGTCAACCACATTTTCAGCAGATAACTGCTGCTTACAAGTTATAAGTCATATCTTATCATCTCATTACTTCAAAAGCAACGCTAACTAAGGCTGGACCCTCGCAGAGATTTTTCAAAAATTTGGCTTTTTAAGGTTTTATAAAAACCATCGCGAGTGAATTGCACTAGAAATCTATTTTTCAGCAACTTAAAGCCTCGTTAATACAAAAAGTAAAAAAGTAACGCTAAAAAAATAAACAATTTGTAGAGGGTCTCTCATATTAAACTAATTTGCCTTCAGCCAATCACACACTAAGAACATCAATTTCAAAACCCGTGGTATCGCAGTAGTCAAGAACAACATGACATTTAATTGCCCTACTTCCAGAAACTTCCATCGTGATATACAAAAAATCCTCATTCCCAAGACAAGCCAGCAAATCCTTGAAGCACTGCATGAAAAGTGCAAATACTACAATAGTCCAGTCCAATTAACCTGCTATAGCCTGCCGTCTTACCTTACGACAAACCGCAGCGGATGCTACCAGCCATCCCAGCCAATCGAGAGTAATCAATGCACCACGTGACTATGCACACCGCGCATCACTGCTCCCCTCCCGAAGGTCACGCGCAACACTAGCGCGGATTGGGACCGACGGCTCGTAAGGTCGGCTGCGGTCCACAGTACGGTGGTAAGGAGTGACCAGTACTGACAAACTCTGCAGGTCAACCTGCTGCTGTCTGTTCCACAGTAAAATGTGATGATGGAAAGGATGTTGATTTGTGTGAAAATGTTTCATATTAAATGCACAAGAACTGAAGCAACTAGACGCTGAATGCAAGGTTTCTCAGGCTTTCCGATTTCAAAAAACATTTCCCTACCGAAAAATCCAGCATAACTTTTCACTATCCAAATTATGGAACCGTAAATTTGTTTCTCGGAACTCGAAATCCAGATTGCAGAAAAAGGAATAATTTCTGAAGACCTAAAGTCCAGACAGAGTCCAGATAGAATTCAGATAGATTTCCGTTTCCATAATCCGGATAACGAAAAGTTATACTGGATTTGTCGGCAAGGCTAGTATGTGCCGACAACCGAGAAAGGCCCCCCCTCCCCTCGATCGTAGTATTGATGCAATAAAGCAGTGCAGAAGCCTACGGATCACGTAAATAGAAATGCACAAACTAGAGAGCGTTCGGCTCATAGTTACGTGTTACTGGGTGGCTCGCATTTGCTAACTAGTACTCGAACTGGAAATGCGCTTTACTTAGGGCTGGGACAGCCAAGGAAATTCGGGAGCTCCAAGAACCCGCGAAAGGTACTCCGGGGAAGACTTGGGTTCCCACTTTGAGGACCGATGCCTTAAATTGAAGCTGCACGACTACTCAAAGTTTACCGACCACTCAATGGCGACGAACCGTACCTTTGGACTTGAAGATGGGTATGTTGTTGTTCTCATCCTCGACAATGACCTTGCAGGTGACTAGGGTGAAGAGACGCTTTTCGGAGTCCTTGGCCTGGTCCGTGGCCTTGACCACGAGGGTGTACTCTGGCTGGACTTCGTAGTCTAACTGGCTCTGCAGCGTGAGGGCTCCGGTGCCAGAGTCCAGCTGGAATGCCGGGGATGGGGACTGTTCCACTATGCTGTACTGGACCTGAACAGACAAAAAAAAACAAATAAGCAAAGTAAATGAGACCTTAGACGCTGCGACGGCGGGAGGTCGGTCTGGCCTCAGATGATTGCACTGGTTCACGTTGTACACGAGACCTCTAGCCGGTGCAGTGGAACTGCTAGCCTGAGGACTTTAAACTGCATCACTTCATGCTGACTGCACGAACGCGAGCTAGTGCGACCCTGATTCGGAAGGAAACTGGCAGGGGTGGGGACCAAACCCAGGAATGGTGCACGGGTTCTGCAGCGAGCATTCGCTCCACATGATCCCAGCTGCTGTGCACTGACACACTCACCACTGAAACCCCTTGGTGTCTGCCAGCTTGCTTGCATTTCTTACGAGGCCACCCCAATAATGAGCCCGAACAGGGAGCAGCGGTTGAAATAAATAAAAACTAGAAATGACTCAATTTGTGCAAATTTTCGAATTTGGAAATATTGCAAAAATATGACGCAAGGCTATCACACCCAATGGCAATAGATATATATCGGACACCACACTAAATTGCAAACTTCTATGCCTCCAAAATATTGCCAAAAGTCCCACTTCGCAAAATTCAAGCATTATTGAGCCCGCAAAAATAAAATTGTTTACTGCAAATATAATTATAAGAAGCATTGATCCAACTGAAAAAGAAAGGAGAAAAAAGGATGAAGACACAACGTCTTGATGTCTCGTTCCGTCTTTGTTCTTTCGTTGCAATCCCTTTATCTTTGCAACATTACTGGCACACACTACCCAAGCAGCACACATGGTCCTCCAGATATCCTCAGGATGTCCTGACGTTTTAGGGATGTCCTGTGCATGTGTATAGGACATCTGTGCTGCTAGGGTAAAGGCCCGTTTGCACACTTGCACTTGCTTACGACCGAGGTTTTGCGATCTCTTACGACGAGAAGATACACTGGCAAGCGGCACCACCTATGAAGTGACTCTGGAACTGCATTTCACCAGTGCAAAGGTTTTGTCTATTTGGGAAATGATATCTGTGGGAAATGGTTGTTTATAACATTCACAAGTTTTTCGAGCCAAGAAAGAAAGAATGATGCGTGACAAAAAAAGAAAAAAAACATATACGAAACTGACACGTGTTCCGCAGCTACGTAAAATGCAGCGGGCGTGTCCACTCATCGTAGGAGATCTTCAAGACCAACCTAGATAATCGTCTTCTGCCTGAAAGAAAAGACGCTTCTCTTTTGCTGCCCTGCACTCCCTTTCGTGCTCTTCTCCCCTCCTCACCCCACAGGAGCGGGTCTCTGAGTTACTTCCCGCAGGAACTTTCTCGAATGAAAAGGAGGAATTGAAGGAGAGTTTCTTCCTTTCCGGTTGCTCGTCGGCCTTTAAAGGGGTGCTCGAGTGGATTCTGCGATTGACTATTTATGGTGATTAGTCACTCTACGGGCTCTAAGCATCCTGCAAAACCCGAAGTCACACTCGTGAAAAGCTGATTTTCCAATTAAAAATCTAATCAAAGATCCTGAAAAGACCCTTTTTCTGCAGCTTTGGCGCAGACACCAGGGGGCACTGTCAGACGTTGCTTTCAATAGATTGCTGTATCACATCTCCGACACCAAACTATTTGACATTTTTGTCAAGGTATAATGCACAACGTGCCTAAAAAGAGCAATAATAGCAACGTTTGGAAGCTCCACGCGATTGGCTATTTCCATTGGTCAAAATTTATACTTAATTCATGGAGTTCGTCCAACGTCCACTGACCTCTCCGTTGGCTCCGCTGTCCAGGTCCTTGGCTGTGAAGGTCCACACCACGGAGCCCTCCGGAGCGCTTTCCGACACCGAGAACATGACAGGGTCGTCTTCGAAGGTCGGGGCGCAGTCGTTGACGTCCTCCACCTTGACCCTGACGTTGATGATGCTGCTTCGGGGGTTGAGGGCGCTGCCGTCGGCGGCCGTCACCTGGAGCGTGTACTCCGACGCCATCTCAAAGTCCACCGCCCGCGTGGTGTACAGCACGCCCGACACCTTGCCTGCGGGTGAACGGGGCAAGGTTGCCTGAATTTTTCTGCATAACTCAAGAACAGCATTAATCCCGCGTTGATCAAAGGCTATCGGTGAAACCCGTCATTCTCGAAACATCAAGGATCGTACCGTGATGCAACATGCCGATGATAATTGGGGTTTAATGGCGCAAGAGCGACTTGGCCATATTGCGCCACGATGATGCAACATGCGCTTTTGGCGGTCATTTCGTTTTGACTGTGACCTGTTTCTTAATATGACTGGTCTCGTACCTTTGGACAAAAACAGGCTAATGTGAGCTTTTTTTTTATGAAGTTGTTTGTGGCGAGTTTTATACACCTTTGCTCCTTAATGACACTTCATACTGTGTTCCACAAAAGTGTGTTAGATCTCCTTTCATTCCCGATGACACATTTGCCGCTTCTTTATAATCGTAAAAAGTGTGACAGACATATTTTGTCCCCTTGTAACATTTAAAAGACGCTTGTTGGCAACCTAATGGCCTGTCTTCGATTTTTTCCGCTTTAGTATATTTCTTTTTAATGTTTTAAGTGTTTTGCATTGTGAATTTTATATTTTAGTTTTGTATAATTTGTACATTTCAAAGGCTAAGAGCTGTTTCTGTCTACAGTAAACGAAACAATAAGCAATAAAAGGGAAACTTCGAGCACAACCTGCCACCGAACGATTGGGCACAAATTGTGCGTAGTAGTTGGACAAGGCACTCAAACGCTTGAGCTCAAGACCAGGATCGAGAATCTATGATAGCAGCACGTTTCATAGCTGCAAAACTTTTGCGCTGAGCAGCGCCTCCTGCCTTGGCAAAGTTTGTTGCACAATCCCCACAGACTTTTCCTACGCGGGCGTCGCAATCTTCAACAGAGGAACTTCTGGTGAATGGGAAAACATTGTTTTGATTTTGCTAACCCACTGGATGGCGAGATCTGTCACTCATCCTTGCTTTGCCTCTTCTATATTTTTTTTGTTGTTATAAACAGATACTTTTATTTTCGGGAAGAGTATACAATAGCAGTCGCCTAATATGAGCAATACCATAATCACAGTGAAGACCCAGAGAGCAAATGAGCTGTCACCAACACTCAAAATGTTGCGATAAACACTGGTCCATGTTAGATGGGCAGTCAAATTTCAAAAGCGCAAACACAGTGAAACAGAAATTAGCGGTAGTTACGTATGCGAAACAACGCAAAAACGAAAAACCCTAAATATTTACACAATCGGAAACGAAAAAAAAACCAAAAAACTGCCATACTCAAGAACACTCATTGGTATCTAATCTATTCCAGTGGGATATTACATGCAGAAAAAAGAACGCATTTGGAGGAGTCTGTCTATCTATTGTTAACTTTCTCCAGGTCGTCTTGCTTTTTTGTCCGCCCCGTGCACACACACCATACGTGAACTACATTGTTGGGAAGAAGGGTAAGCGAACATCCTGATGCATTTCTGCGTCCGTATAACGCGTGTCGCAGCGACAGCAGGTCTGCGCTCGCATAATTCGCTAACATTGTGCCGCCATTTTTGTTTCTGCGCCGCCTCCCCATACCGAAATAAACCCAGTATATCTTTTCACTATATGGAGCATCGAACCGTAAATCTAATTGGAATTGTTTCTGGAAACATTAAATCCAGATTGCCAACAAAGGAATAAGTTCTGAAAACCTGAGATCCAGACAGAATCCAGATAGATATCCAGTTTCATAATCTAGACAGCAAAAAGTTATACTGGGGTTTTCCATTGGGTCCTGAGCATAATTACGAGACTTTTCGAGACATTTTTGCTTCCCCTCTCGGCTCTGCTCCTTTGCCTCGTCCATACTCAGTCTAAGACGAGCCACCGAGCCGCCACTAAAATTTGCGTCCTTCAAACCTGTTACAGATTTTCTGAGGTCTAGCCATACAGCGTGCAAGTTAGTCGTGCGCGCGTGCCGGCACAACGGGGTGTCGACTACAGCAAAGGAGAGAACTGCAGAGGATTTCTTTTTCGAATACTTGGCCTCCCGCATGCCCTCGCGGCCTTTTGTAGTGCTCTGGCGTCGTGTGCTCACTCGAAGCTCGTGAGACGCCGAAGCTTCATCGAAGGTAGAAAGGGGTGGAACGTGTAGGACTAATTTACTGAAATTTGTCCCGTCAATAGCTCAGTTCCTCAACACAAAATATTACTATCATCTGTAGGTCGCCGGTATGAATCCGGCTCGATGGAAGGACATTTGTTTTTTCTTTTAACAAACTCGGTGGCGGTTGAGAGCAGTCATGCGATTGATGACGTCACTGGGCGTTTTTGCGAAACATGACCGTGCAATCTCCCGGGAAGGCGATGGCTAATGGCCGTCACTGTAAAAAGCTCTCCACCGCTCAAAGGGTCACTGACCGATGTCGAACACGTCGTAGAGGTTTCCCCCGACGATGGCATAGGTGATGTGGCCGTTCTCGCCGGCGTCCTGGTCGACGGCGTTCACCACACCCACCTGGCTCCCAACAGGGACGCCCTCTCGCACCTGGAAGCTCAGCGAGGACGTGAAGAAGGTGGGCTGGTTGTCGTTCAGGTCCAGCACGTGCACCTTGAGGCTCAGCCGTGCCTCCATCGGGGGCGCACCGCCGTCCCGAGCGACCACCACCAGCGAGTAGTAGTCCTGCTGCTCGTGGTCCAGGACTGTGCGCGTGGTCACCACCCCAGAGGTGCGGTGGATTGCGAAAGCCGGCGAGCCGTCGGCACGCTGTCCGCCTGGGGCAGCGTGAATGGGACGGGAAATGGTGGTTAATGAACGTACAGGCGCAATATAATTTGGAAACGAGAGGAGGAGTGGCAAAGGTCTGTATTAGCTGAGGTACGGTGTGAACATGCAAAAAAAGTGAAAGACGTTGACAACACTCTGTAACCCCGAATTAAAGCGCAGCTCTTGAGGAGGAGGAGGGAGGGGTACTGAGGGGAGGGTATACCCCTTCTCCCTCCTCCCCACCTTCTCATCCTGCCTGCTACTCCTCCTCCCCTCATCCTCATCATCCCTGCTCCTTCCTCCTTCTCTTCTCACTCCCCCTCCTCCTCCTCCCTCCTCTCCTCTTCGCTCCTGCTTCTCCCCGAGCGTTGCATCATCGGACGTTTCCCATAATGCAACGTGGGACGTCCATCACGTCACGTGACCCTCGTGAGGTCAGGTCATGTGACCCCCGTGAGGTCACGTGACCCTCGTGATGTCACAGTTACGCCGACAGGGACGCCGATGCCAACGCCGACGCCTCTCAAACTGGAAACAGGCGCCTAAAAGCTGCCTTCTAAAAAGATTTTTTTTTTTTTCACAGTGAAAATTAACGATGCATTATTGCAAGCTCAGTCTCCGCACGGATGCAGTGCTAGCGACTCAGACCAAAGGCCAAAATTTCTAAACTAAACCCAATCCAGTTCTTTCAGCTTAGTGTTGAATAGAGCATAGGGGTGTGCAGACACTGCCTCAAATCGAAAACACTCAGTGTCATCCCTAGCTTCAATGGTGCAGGAAAGCTGGCATGTCGTGGCTTTCTCTCTCCATATGAAGGCTATTAATAATGCAGAGCTATTCATTTCACTATTCACACAGCCCTACCAGGCTCGGAGTTTTCGTCCTCCCTCCCCCCCCCCCCCTTTGCAAGGAAACATACTACGACCATAGCTTTTGAATGACCAAATGCTCAAGGCTTTTTTCTCCCTTGCACCATCTCGTTGAGGCAATCTACTTCGACCATAGCTTTAGAGTGACCCCATGCTCAAGGGTTTCCACCCCCTTTGCATAACCTCGTTGTGGCAATATGCTTAGAACACCGTTTTCATGAGATTCAGACTAAAGCTTTTTCGTCCACCATGCGCAATCTCGTTACAGCTATACTCTGATCATAGCTTTTGAGTGACCACAGGCTCAAGGTTTTTTGCCCACCACGAACAATCTTGTCAAAGCAATATACTCTGACCGTAGCTTTTGAATGACCACAGGCTCAACGTTTTTCGCCAACCATGAACTATCTCGTCGCAGCCATATACTCTGACGATAGCTTTTGAGTGACTACAGGCCGAAGGGTTTTCGCCCACCTTGCACAATCTCGTAGAAGACGTCGGCATTCTTGCCCTCGTCAGCATCCACGGCCTGGACCTGGGCGAGCTCAGTGCCCACGGGCTGCTCCTCCCGGACGCCGACAAGTGTCTCAGCCGGCTCCACGAAGACCGGGGCGTTGTCGTTGACGTCGGCCACGACCACCTTCACGATGGCCCGGTGGAAGCGCGGAGGCGTGCCCTGGTCGTGCACCTCGGCCGTCACCTCGTAGCTTGACTTACTCTCCCGGTCCAGCAACACCTTGGTGAAGATCTCGCCTGCGGTGTAGGAAAGGGAGGGGACACCAAATTTTACGGGCATGTCAGGAACCTCTCAAAGACAAAAATCTCTTCTGTTTTTTGCGATAAAGGTTTTAAGAAAAACACCCAACCAATTCGTCACCATGGAACCCTTTAATTGTTTGTCGAGAAAATTGCCCTCTCTTTGGGTGCTGACAGAGGAAATGTGACACAAAAGCGGTTGGGATCTTCTGCCTGCTGCTAACAAAACCCTCACATCCCAGTGCGGCGAAACTAATGATATGCCCGCAATGTGCCTTGTGATTCCGATATGTGCGCAAGCGGAAGTCAGTTTCAATATTCTCAGCAAGTTATGGAACAAGACACATAACCCATGCGGTAAATTTGTTTCGGTATGCTAGCCGTCGCCTCTCCAGGAAAATGCCATACTGGCAGGAGGAGACTACGAGGGAAAGTTGATCCATGTTACCCGAAGGTTATGTCTGACGGACCAATCTTCGTGACCATCAGAGAAGCTCGCCATCGGCAAGTGTTCTAGCTGATACGGCCTACATTTATGGTCTGTTGCAGGTTAAGGAAAGCTGAGCAAGATCCTCCCACAAAGTGTTCCACCAGGCCCTTTCAACTTTAGCAGAGTTATTGCTGAGGCAGGTGAGTGTAGAGGAGAAAACCACCAATCATAGTCAGCAGAGAGCTTTGAGCGAGGGGCATGTCCACCTTTTTATAAGTAACAATAGACTATAGCAGAGATAAGGTCCATAATTATAAAATAAATGCATATAATTTGCACCATTGCGTAAAACATTCGAAAAAAAAATCTTTGACAAAAAGAAAGTGACATGCATTTAAAAATTTGGTGTCTAGACAATGAATGTATCAAAGGAATGTAAATTAAAGAGAATATGCAGGAAGACCGGAAGCTAGAGAAAATGTGCCAGAAGTGCCTCTGTCCTCACTCGAGGAACCACTCACCGGTGACTGGGTTGATCTGGAAGCTCCCGTTGGCGTTCACCAGTGAGTAGCGCAGCGCGGCGTTGCTCCCGGCATCCTTGTCGTGCGCCGAGACGGTGCCTACGCGGCGCCCTTTCTCGGCATCCTCGGGCACGAAGAACTCGAAGACGGGCTTCTCGAACATGGGGTCGTTGTCATTGGCATCCAGGACCCTGACCTGGACTGTGGCGGTCGACGAAAGAGCGGGGCTCCCGTTGTCAACGACCTCGACAGCTAGGGTGTGGTGGTCGGCGGTCTCTCGGTCCAGTTGCTCCTTGAGGTAGAGGAAGCCGTTGTTGGGGAAGATGCCGAACTTCGAGGCCTGCTGCTGGCCTGGGCCTTCCAGGAGCTTGAAGGTCAGGCGAGCATTGTTGCCAGTGTCCTTGTCCGTCGCACTGACCTGCAAGGTGCAATGACGAATGGGAGTTCAACACAATTCCAAGTTGATAAAATTTGAATTTCAAGCGAGTCCAGGCCAGTAAAGTGTGAGTCCAATAGTCGAAGCCGATAAAGTGTGAGTCTCATGCTATTCCAGCCGATAAGTGTGAGTTTCATGTGGTAAAGTCCAAGCCCGTAAAGTGAGTCTCACATGGGTCCAAGCCAATAAAGTGCGAGTCCAATGTGAGTTTAAGCCAACAAACTATGAGTCAGTCCGATGTCAGTACAAGCCGACAAAGTTAGTCCAATGTGAGCACAAGCCAATAAAGTGTAAGTCCAATGTGAGTCCAATTCCCAAACTGATAAAGTGTGAGCCTCATGTCAGTCCAAGCCAATAAAGTATGAGTGAGTCCGATGTGAGCACGAGCCAACAAAGTGCATCCAATGTGAGCCGAATTCGATAAAGTGTGAGTTTAATGTGAGCCGACGCCGATAAAGTGTGAGTTCAATGTGAGTCCAAGCCAATAAAGTGTGATTTAGACTAACGAGAGTCCAAGCCAGTAAAGTGTAAACCCAATGTGAGTTCAAACCGATAAATTATGCAGGCCGTTATAACCAGGGTTTATGCTGATAAACCCTGAAAATTAATCCCCATGCCAGTTTTATAAAAAAACGGGAAAACTCCAAATAAAAAGAAATTTTACAAAAAAAAAAGACGAGTACACGGGAACAAATTTTGAACGGCAACTTTACATTGTGCTGAATGGGAACAATGCCCACACCGAACCGTCTGCGAAGCTGGTACTTTGTTCGGGAACCATACCTCTTACCTAATTTCCTTATGCTATCGACACCTAGACAATTTCAAGTATTTGGGCCACGTTTGCGTTCCCTCAAGGTTGGGAACTCATATACGCCCTCGAATTTGTAAAACAAAATAATTGCAGCTCTACTTTGATTTAGCGATCAAAGCATCGTATGCAGAATTGCATTTTATAAGGAATGCTGCTGATGCTCACATCCATTCTCAACCTTCCTGTCACACGGAATTGCATTCTTTCGAAGCGTTGCCTCGTCTTTCTCACCGGTCTTTTTAAAATTTTCTTTAGTGCAGGTGCTCAACCGATTTGCGTAGGTGTACATCATTAAATTGCAAACGCCCTCCATGGCTTCAGTTAATCTCTTTCTTAAATCTGGGCACACTATACTTGGAATCAACTATCATTGTTCTACGTTGCGAAGGCTAGTGCTGCTTCTACGGTGCTGCAGCCCCGCACTGCTGCGAGAGCATGTGGCTTCGTCTTCCATCTCATTAGCACTCGCTCTAGCGCGATAGAGACACTTTGGAGCACTGCGGAAGCTACGACAGCCTCGTTAACGTAACACAAAATAATAGTAACTGCACTGTCATCGCCAGAAGTGGTAATCAGCTGACAAGAGAGATCAGCGAAGCTGAAAAAATAGCCAGGTTGGACAACCAATGTGTTAGTGTATCATCCTTAGCTTGGTCAAAGAAAGAATTGGATTATCAGAGATGTCATCAAAGCACAAATAGTGATGAGAAATTTTTCGCTTAATTTTTAATTTAATTTTTTTAATAGTATTTTTAGTTGTCTTTTATTTATTTATTTATTAGTTATTCATTAATGTTTATCGGCTATTTGGTCTTGGGTGTGTAAAAAATTTAAATTGTTCTTATTAACGGCAAAGGTGAAGAAGTTGAAGATTTGAGGAAGAAGAAATATAGGACTGAGTTGTAAGTCAGCGCTGCGAGTCTGTCTCCTTTTGTGTGCATGTGAGTGTGACTGTTCATCTGCGCTGTTCCATCAAAACAAAATAATAGACCTATCTCACAGCCAGTTTCACTACACCACCACGGCCGTCATGCATGGTGGGAACTCGTGCCACTAAATATGCTACGTTTCAGAGTAACGACACTTACCCATCTTGTGGCTTAAAATCATGGTTGCCAGTTATCTGAAGCTTCATTCGATGTCACAGGAAACGCTTTTTTATCCTCCACAATTGTTTGAACAGTTCAAGACAGAGCAAAGCAATATTACATGAGCTTCCTAACACCGAATCTAATGCTGAGGGAGTTGCACTTTTGAATCATGACGATCAGCATTTCCGTCTGCGCTGCCCAAGGACCAAGATGGCGGCGCCCACAATAATATCGGAGAGCAGAGTGAGAGTGCGGATACTCTAAGCGTAGCTCATTTAGTGGCTCTAGTGGAAACTAGCATTTCTGCATGACCGACAACCTCACTAAAGCATGAAACACATGGACGGTGAAACTGGGCGCCGTGTGGCACTCGCAGCTCGCTGCACCACTGGCGCATCGCGCAGCCTTTTCTGAACCAACCCTATCCCAGCGAGAGGAAGTATCGCACATTTGTCCCCGATTTTCCTGAAAGATTTCTGAACAGACGAACTAACATCACTGAAATAGTAACTCAAATATTGGGCCAAAAATGTTTTTTCTGCAAGGTTATTGAATTTACAATATTGGCCCTCAGCATGTTTTTCAAGTTGAAAGTCTCTACTGGCAACAATGAAAAAGAGAGGTCAGCAGAAGGAAGGGCTTCACCCCTTGGACACGACTTTGTTCCCAACTGATTACAAGCAGTTTCATTGTGTCAAATTAATGCTTTGGAAGCTCGCTGCTGTATCTGCGCAGCAGCACAAAAGAAATGCTCGGCATAATCCATGTTTAGACCACCCGCTCGACCTACAAGCCTGCCTTCCCCCACGGCACTCAAAAAGCACTGGTATATTTGACTGTTGGTTTTGACATTATTTTCACTTGCCGATTGTGCAATAACTATTCTGAATTTCATGATACTAAATAGCATACCGGAAAGGATAAAAAGCTTGGTGATTACGAAAATGTAGTTTATTGGGGTAGCTAAAAAAACCGCCGGACTACCCTGCCCTAGCAGAGCACGAGGCTGGACAAACTGTGGTGAACTGGCTCCTGCCTCCTATGAGCTACAGTTATGACAGTGACACGCATACGAGGAATACTTAGTGAGATCAATCTATTGACGTCGGCAACCCCCTTTGACCACAGCGCCATGCGAAGGACCGCTCACCTGGAGGAACTGCGAGTTGGCGGAGAGCGACTCGAGCACGTTGACCTTGTACTGGGGCCTCTCGAACGTCGGCGCGTTGTCGTTCACGTCCTGCACCTCGACGAGCAGCGTCATGTTGGAGGAGAGCGGCGGCGACCCGCCGTCGGTGGCTGTCAGCACCAGCCCATACTTCTGGCGGACCTCATAGTCAAGGCTCTGCCGAAGCATGAGGCTACCACTTTTTGCGCCCACGTGGAAGGCGCCGTCTGGGTTCTCGGCCAGGGCGTAGCGCACGGCGCCGTTGCGGCCGCCGTCGGCGTCCCGCGCGTGCGCCACGTACGTCGGCGTGTCCACCTCTACATTCTCCGGGATGCTGATCTTGAGGGACGGGCTCTCAAACGACGGCGCATTGTCGTTCACGTCCCAGATGGTGACGTTCACCTGCGGCAACCCGACGTTTTCGAGACATCGTCAGCCAGAGAAACCTCCGCATTTGACCTTCGGACGCGCTAAATTCGAGCTAACGAAACAAAGCCAGTAACCCTCCAAAGGTTTTCTTGCAATTAAGAATTTTAAAAATGCACGGTTGAAGTTGCGGGGGTTGCAATGTTCAGCGCCACAACCCCAAAAGCGCAAGCGAAGTCGGACTATGTGAACCAGGCTTCTCAGCAGGCGAATCCCACGCAGTGCTGAGTAACTTCGAAGCGAAACAGGTGGTTCGGTTGACCCACATGTTCATATGTCAATTCAACGGTCAATATCTAGACAAACCGAACACAGATTACGAAGATTGAACGTCTTCTGGTCTTCCTTTGAAACGACAACTTTGGAAATAGGTGGCGCAAGCTGCCGCCTGATTTCACGGTTCAGTCGTATTAATCCATCTCTCCATGAGTGACAATTTTGGCTGTAACGTCAGAGTAGTGAACTCGGTAACCCTGCAAAAGTTTCCGTTTCGGTCTTTAGCACTAGTTTTCACGTGATTTTGTGAAAAGATGTTGTTTTGAAAATTCAGAAGCGAAATTGGGCAGAGAAGCGAAACTATATCTATAAATGTTATAAAGCAACCTCCACCGACTCTGGTATTCTCTTAATAATAGAGAGTTTGACTAGGCCGTTTTCCCCTTACGCTACGCATTACGCAACGAAGATGCCGATAGTGAGCACACGAAGCTAGCCTCGCGGGCAGAGTTCTGGATCTCCTGATGGGTTCTGAAGAGCGCTTCAAAGAAAACTCCCTTATGTCTTACTCCTAATAGTGTTTAAATGTGACCTGCACCGCTTTGAAAAAAGTTTGGAGTGAAATGTTTTGGAAAACTTAGTTCATGTTTAAAGTAACCGACACATCTCTGGGAAAAGAAAAAAAAAAAACGAAAGCACCATTGAAGTATGCATTAAGAGTGACATGACAGAAAACTAGCAACATAAACGACATGTGGTAGCTTTTACATGACTACTACTTAACATGAAATACCATTAATAATAGTATCAAGCGTTCGGGATCTTTTTTTTTTTTTTTGGACAGTGGGGTTTGTAAGTAAATTTCTGCTTAGTTTACAGATGAGGCAAATTATCAAACACCGATGAAATCTGAACTCATGGAACCAAGGGCTATCATGTCAAAACAATTATATCTGGCCTTTGCAACAGAAAGAGAGAGAGAGATGTGAATTTAACATACATAGCAGGGCGGACTTACCTACATGTCACAGCTGCGTAACACACAGTAACATGTTCAGGGTGTTTCTGAGCGTTGTTCAAACGCAAAAAGAAATAGAATTGTATAAATTGTATAAAATGAATTAAGACCAACGAAACAAACTTTTGACAAAGGTGTCTCTAGGTGAAGCATTCATCATACTCAAATTTCATTAGTGCGGGGTTCAGGAAAAGCATATACGTCTAAACAAATATGTTCCTTCTTTTTGTTTTTTTAGCGCACACAAGAAAAAAAACGAAAGACGTTTACAATTTTTTGTAACGCTGAAGTAGAGCGCAGGTTTTGATGAGGAGGAGGAGGGGAGGGTACGGAGGAAAGGGTATGCCCCTCTTCCTTACCCGCTAAATTTGGCGGGGAAATTTTTCCGCTCAATTAAGCGGGAAAATTTTACCCTCGTGACGTCACACATAACGTCATGTGCGACGTCGCACCTGTCGTCACACGTGACGTCTAGAGGGTAAATTTAGCGGGAACCTTTTCCACCAAATTTAGCGGAAAAATTTCCCCGCGTGCGACGTCGTACGTGACGTCATACGTCACGTGCTTTCTATATTGACGTCTCAAGTGACGTTACGAGGGTAACGTCGTGACGCTACCTTTGTGATCCTCATGAGGGTAACCCTCGTAAGGGTAATCTTCATGACGCTCGTAACGTCACACGGGACGTCACGTGTGACGTCATTATGGGAAACGTCCCATAATGCAACGCGCTGTTGCGGTGAAGCCAACGTCGACGCCGACGTTGACGCCGCTCGAGCAGGAAACGGGCGCCCAAGAGCTGCGCTCTAAAGGGGTGTCCAAACAGGACACTACAAAAGGCACGACTCCGACAAATCGTGAAAATGGAAGCGGACGCGCCCGCTTCGCGCCCGCTTCAATTTTCACGATTTGTCGGAGTCGTGCGTCTTGTAGTGTCCTGTTTGGACACCCCTTAACACGGTAAAAACCGCCTGGTTTATGCTTTTACTCACACATGGCAAAACGGTAAAAACCACCTGGTTTAACAGTACTCCTCACACATGGCAAAACAAAAAGCAAAAAATTAAAAGCTTCTTTGAGGTGAACCTCCAAAAGAGTGTGTATCTGTATATATCTGAGCGTGTCTGGTGCCACATGGGACTAGCAGCGTCAACCATTTTTTTTTCTTTTTTGTTTCCCTCTCTTGCATAGAAGAAAAAAAGGATATTTTAGGTCTAAATTTGCTCCATGACAAAGTAAATCGGAGATTGAGGAAAATATTATAACAGACAAATACACACACCGTCTCGTTCGCTTATTTTATTTTTCCAGTCTCAAGTTGCTTTTTTGTTTCTCTTTTTTTTGGTTATAAAATTAGTTCACCAGCTAGCCTGCATATTTTCACTTTCTTCATTAAATTCGCTTTTTTAAACCCCCACTCACGAAATTTGAGCTTGCAAATGTAGTCTTTATAGGCTCCTTGCACTGACGTCACATCGCACACATTTGAACACCAAGTAAAAGGAGGAGAGGGAAGCTGCTTTTGTAAGAATTTTGAGTGACAGGTTATCTTCTATAATCTTCTGGGAGGAGAATGGCGACGCCTGTGCCAATCCGGGAGGCACAAAGGAGGATCCTGATAAGAGGGGAGCTCCTTCTTCCCCTCTTCTCTGGAGGGCAACGGAAATGACGTCCTGTGCAAGACTTTCTAGAAAGTTCCAATGCACTCCATTCGCTGGTGTGTGTATACTAATATTTTTTTACGACCTAAAAGCACTCGGAAACAGCCCCAAAGAATAGAAAAAGAGTGCAAAGAAGGAGCTCGAGAACCGCACGAACAGGTTAACGGAAAAACATCTCTGCCATTCAATCATTCCTACACACATATACACACACACACACAAACACACACTCTCTCTCTCGCCATCTACAAAACAAGGAAAAGAAAGAGCAAACTACAACAATATATATTACGAACTTGTGTGTGTCCGTAGGATGGCGGATGGCCACTGGTCGCCTGAACGTTGAGCAGCAGAAAAGGATGGAGCTCGTGGTCCAGTGGTCGCTGCACCGTGATGCTTCCCATGAGGGCGTGGATGGAGAAGTACCCTTCGGGATCTCCAGAGTAGATGGAGTACCGTAGACCGTTGGCTCCTGCACCGTACCACGCGCATCATCAGTGTCGCATACTCCAAAAAACAGAGGGATTTTGCCGATGTTGTGACACGCGGGCTGCTTTAAAGAGCAAGTAATGATCTCGAACAGTTACGTGCTGAGTAAACTGCAGACCCTTCGAGGTGTCTTGTTCTATGTCTAGGATAATTTCCCCAGTCACGCCGTCTGTAGGGCTGACAGGATCTCCTACAAGAAGATAGCCCAGGTTTGCGCCACCTCACTCGATTAAGATAGGGCGCCCAGATTGAGGACGGGTCAGTTTGTAGGTCCATGAGCTCGCTGATTGGGGGAAGCGATTTGTAGTTTCGCAAACGACGTCTGAACTCAGCGACACAAGCTGCGTGCAGTGCTAGGTGCACAACGCACAGCATCGGCAAAATGCTCTCTTAAGGAGATAATTACAAACCAACAATGCTGTTTAAAAACAAGTCTGCGTTCACCCATAACGTACACGCGGACACAGGTGTGGAGAAACCGGCTTCGCGTGAAGCATCTGCGTATGCGCTGCGTTGAAGCCAGTGCCGTTTCAGCGCCCCAACAACAAAGCCATGCGTTGACGGGCATCACGGAGGGCCACGTGCTCGTGCCCACGTCTTCCAGAATGCGGCGCACAAGACTCGAAAGTACCGCGAATTCCGGCGGCGCCCAGGGCTCACCTCGGTCGCTGCTCTTGGCGACGACGGTGCCGATGACGGTCCGTGCCGTGGCGTCTTCCCTGACCTGGAAGCCGTACCGGGCTTGCTGGAAGATGGGCGGCTGCTGCTGAGGACCCAGCACGCTGATGTAGACGTGCGCGTTGCTCTGCGATGTCAGGCCACCGCCGTCCTCGGCCGCGATGGTCAGGTGATGCAGCGGTGTGTCTTTGGTCAGGCGACCAACCACGAAGAGCTCGCCTGCAGGCAAGAGGGAAAGCCATTATAACTCTTCCCTGAGAAATTAAAACAATCAGGTTTGTTATTGCGGGATGGACGTTGATAGACCCCACGTTACCAGTCGTAAGACTGTACGTTCCTGCTGTAGAGACAATGATAAACCAAGCTGAATGTGCATTTTGCTCTAATACAGTTTATTTGATTTGTATATTAAAATTTTAATTTTTAGTAAATCAAGTACAAATAAAAAAAATTATTGCTTGCAGGGCAGTCGTAACAGCTTTTCACTGTCAGTTGAGCATCTCAATCCTTGCGGAGAGTGAAGCGGAAGGTGTGAGAAAAAGGTCAAATTAAATTTAAGCAGCCCTTCAGTTTGTTACATCGCTCTTCTGCAATACAGAATTTGAATACAGACAGTATGGGTGGCTCAAGCTGCCACCCAAATCGAAGGGTACAGCTGCATGCATCCATCCGTGTAGCCAGGCACGTAGCCAGGGGGGCGGCCCATGGGGCCCGGGCCCCCCCCCCCCCCGAAATCTTCGATTTTGCTGGGACCTTCTCTCCCCCCTCCCCTTCATACAGCATTTTGTCATGGGCGGGCCCCCCCCCCCCCCCCCGAAACAAAATCCTGGCTATGTGCCTGCGTGTAGCGTGCACGTCAACAAGTGGTTGGAATAAGACCTCTGCATTCCTAAATTACAAAAGGTATCTGTTTAAGTATAAGCATAGTTTTTGCAAGCCCACCAAAACGCATCGTGAGGCTGTAAGTTTTCTTTCTGTTTCTACTATTTTTTGTTCCGCAAACTGACCTTACCATGTACGTACGTATGTCATGCACCCACTGTCGTCGTAAGGCCTACCGATTCTACGAACAAAAGAAAAAAATATCTTCGCTCTTGATAACCTGGTGAGGAAAGAGGACAGCATGAGGTTTGTCTTCCAAAGTTTTTTTGCCGACATTATTGCATGCTGTATGTGTGAGAAAGAGTGGAGTATGACATGCATCACGAAGTAGTGATACGCGGTCGCCCGCCGGTACGATGCTCATCCAGATCGACACCGTCTAGAATAATCAGAACCCGTGCATTAGACTTCTGACCTGATCACACTGAGATCGAGCGAAGATAGATTGGACACGATTGCTGAGACAGAGTTCGGTTGGGCCTCGCGTCCAATCAACGTGTCGAAGGACGCTCGGCATCTGGCTTGGGTCAAATCTCGAAGTTGGCGCCATCGGACCGAGATGACGTTCCACGGAGAAAGACGGGGGCGTTCGCAGGCTTCGGTTATTCTAGGTGACGTTGTCTATATCGAAACAGGCAGGGGTGTGCAACAAGCCCAGAACCCCTTGCTTCAGCAGTGTGGGCCTTCGCTCCATGTGCTCGAACTGCGATGCGTAAACAACTCTGCCACCGACCCCACAAGACGTGCAACAATACGGAGAGCAAGTAGTCTGCTTCTTTGCCCAGAAGTTGCAGTGGCATCAGGATGATGCCGAGCTCTGATTGGCTCTGACCGAAGGATAGTGGGTAGACCTCGAAGGAAGCTGCCTTGAGGTCTACCCATTACCCTTCAATCGGAAGCAATTGGAGCTCGGCCTTCTGACGTCACCACAACCCCTGCAAAAGAAGCAGACAAACTCGCGCTCCGGTCACGAACATCACAAGTAAACAAAAATCAGGAAAAAACAAGAACCGTCTGCGCCACCCCATCTGTTGCTGGAGAGTCGTGACGACGTCACGATGGCATGATATCATGACGGTGATAAGGTCTTAGCGCAGCCAAACGCTACGATCCGGTGGGGGAGTGAAACGAAGAAGCGGCAAAAGTGTATGGTCGGGGCCCTCGTTTTCTTACCGGTGCCAGAATCCACCCTGAAGAGTCCCCTAGCGTTGCCGCTGACGATGCGGTACTTGACGTGGCCGAAGACGCCCGAGTCCATGTCACTGGCCACCACGACAACGACGGGCGTGGACACCGTGTCGTACTCCCGCAGGCTCACGTTGTACTCGCGAGGGTAGAACACGGGCCGGTTGTCGTTCACGTCCACCACATACACCTTCACCATGGCCATCGTGCTCAGGCCTCCTGCCGGGGACGGAACGCTGCCGGGTCAGTCTCCGAAAGCGTAACACCCTTAAAGCCGAAGTTACACTGTACTAGTACGTCATACAAAAGGCAGTTTGTCATAGGGTCCTTCTATGACATCATACAAATACTGTCTGCAGAGATGTTCTAATGAAGAGCTTCCAAGGCGCGTATCCGCAGATGAAAGGCCCTGCCTTTTGTATGACGTACGAAAGGTGTGACTGTGAACGTCGACTCGTCCCCAACGAAAATATTTATTTTTAAGTGCCAGGATAGAACAGATATGTCACTGAGTGAACGCTCCCCGATAAACGTTTTTAACCCATTATTTGTCGCAAGAAGGAATAACCACCGAAAAACTAACAATATTAACGCCATACTTTGCCACAAAACGAACTTGGCCAAAAACTATTTTAGGCCAAAATGTGTCACGACATAAAATACTCCTGAAAAAGAAACATTATTAGCGCAGTAGTTTTCACAAATAAAAATACCCCCCCCCCCCACACACACACAAAAAAAAACAATTTCTTTAGCGCGATACTGTACATAAAACAAACGTCCATCACAAAATATTTTAGCCCAAACATTTTTCCAAAATAAAATACCCTCGAAAACCAAACACCAATGCAATATCTGATACAAAACAAACTTCCACCAAAAAAGAGCTTAGCCCTAAATTTGTCACAAAAATAAGATATCTCCGAAAACAAACATTATTAGCGTAATATTTGCCACCAATTGAGCTTCCACCTAAAAATATTTTAGCTCAATATTAGCCAAAAACTTAACTACCCCCCTCCCCCCCCCCCCCCAAAAAAAAAAACAAATGTTGCAACATACTAACTTGTTATGGGGTTTTTGCTTTTCCCCCAAAAAAAACATTTCAGCGCAATATTTGTCCCGAAATGAACTTCCGGCGAAAAGCAAAAACTCTAAGCGCAACATCTGTCATAAAGAAACTAACCCCGGAAAACAAAAGAAATTTTTTTACGCAATATTTGTTACAAAAAAAAAAAAAAAAAAAAAAAAATCCCCCAAGAAACAAAAATTGCTTAGCTTAATTTATTGCAACAAGAAGAATTTAACAACAAAAATATTTTAGAGCGATATTTATCACAAAATGAACTATCCCCGAGAAAACAAATAGCGCAATATTCGCCAGAAAATAAACTTTCACCGAAAAACAAAAGCGAAAACGTAGCGCAATATTTGTCAGAAAATAAACTTTCCACCGAAAAACAAATCGAAAACGTAGCGCAATATTTGTCGCAAACTAATCTACACCTGGGAAGGAAAAAACAATTTTTTTTTGTGCAACATATCTTACCAAATAAACTTCACCCGAAAAACAGACTTTTACCACAAGAATTGTCATAAAACGAATTCCCCCCTCCCCCCCCCCCCCCCACCAAAAAAAAAACAAAAAAAAAACACAACAACAACAGTTTTAGCCCTGTCACAAAATGAACTGTCCGAAAACGTTATTGCAAAAATATTTGTAAAAGAAAAAAATTACTTTCACCAAAACACGAAAAAAAAAAAACTATATATAGCGCAGTATTTTTTACTACACTAAACTCCCCCCCCCCCTTTTTTTTCCACACACACACAAACACACAATACATTTTTAAGACTGTTACTGTAAAAACAAAACAAAAAGTGCTTTCCCAAGGTACAGACATTTTAGCGCAATATTTGCCACAAAATAAATTTCCGCCGAAGAACAGAAGTTTACTTGTCACAATAAAGTTCACAAAAAAAAAAAAAAAAAAAAAAACATTTTAGAGGAATATTTACGCTGCGAGACTCATTTTCAGCGTTCTGAAATATGCGCCTCCTTGGGGGTCAACGTCTCCAAATACAAGCATTCTCGAAGTTACTCCTAAAAAAATATGTCGCGACGCACATACTATGTGTACGTGTGTGCGTTTTTGAGGAAGGGGGGGGGGGGGGGGGGATAGAGTATGTTTTACGACGTACATGTCTTACAAAAAAGTATGTTTTGGAGAGTTGAGTGTTCAGCTCTGACGCCTTTTTGAGCCACCCAAGCTGAGCACATCTTCGGAATTCCCAGGATTTGCACTTCCCCGCATGCTATGTATTACCTCTGAATTCAAAATAGCTATCGAGAAAACGGCAAATACAGGTTTGTTGTAAACAAACACTCCAACCTTCCCGCGCTCTCCAGTGGAGGCGACATCACATGTTGCATGGCCTGCAAATCCAACACGCAATCTACAAATGAAAAAAAAATGCCTTTTTTTGCCCATGTGTTATTCGTTTTTTTGGCGTGAGTTTTTCCAGCACATTCGTTTCGCACTATCAAACCTTTTGGAACTCGTCGGAAAAAAATAGCTGTACTGACCCCAGATTACAACGTCTAACGTTTCAGTTCTGCCAGTACAGCTTACCAGATCAAATTTGACAGGAGAGCAGGACAGGGAGAGAGAGAGAGAAGAAATACGATGTTTCATTCTTTCTAGTATTTAACTTTATCACCAACGCGCTCAACAAAAAGAAATACATGATTGGTTCGGAAAGAATGGCTGGCGGTGCGTAAACACGGATGTTTACACACCGTGGCGCTTATCATCCGGGTTTTCGCACAACAAGCCTCCAGCCTGTTGCACTTTAGCACACCACCACGCCTCTCTGCGCTCCAAATCTTTCTTAAATTTACTGACTTTAATGGTTTTTTGATGACGCCCAGCAAGTTTCTAATTGGAAACGCACGTGCATTTTCACTAATCTAAAAGTTAATTAACGAATTTAAGTTAATTATCCTATTTATCGTGACGATTAGCCTTCTATATAATGCCCCCCCCCCCCCCCCCCCTCCCCCCTGACCGTATAACTAACCTGCACGGAGCGCATTAGCGTAGCTTTCCCGGATTTCTTAATTAACAAATTGGTAAAACCCTGGAAAACGAAAACCTGCATAACACAATTTATTACCGTGTACACACTTATACGACTAAATAAATGTATCACACTTTTTTAGACATGAGGACGCATGCGCGGAGTGTACTCGATCAGTGCAACCACCCTGCCAGAGTGGAGCCGTAAGAGTGGAATGCGGAGTCCAAAGACGTACCCCTGTCGGTCGCGGAGATGGGAATCTCGAAGGAGTTCCTCTCCTCGTGGTCCAGCGGCGACGAGAGGCACAGTTCCCCGCTGGTCGGATGCACGGAAAAGTGCTGCAGGAACTGGCTGCTCGGCCCGCCGCCCAGCGTGAAGTTCACCATGGCGTTCACGCCGCAGTCCGGGTCCGTGGCCGAGACCTGCAAGCGTGCACGGAGTGGACTGTTGTCAGCGTCGAACGAGGCTTAGAGTCAAACAGAAACACGGATGACTACGGCCAAAATATGCACCAACAACACGCAGCCCTGCTAGGGCCCTAAGCCACACGGCGGAACCAAGCGGGTGTCTGCTGCGATTAGTCAGCGGCGCGGCTCTGAACAATCGCAGCAGACGGCGTTGCCCCTGTCCCTGTGTCCCATCGTGTAGCTGCATATAGGGTCCTTGGTACGCGTTAAAACATCGTTTTGATCTCTCCAGATAGCTGGAAGGCGGTCACGAAGAACGCGTGATTGTCACGTTCTTCTTTTGCCTCGCCTATATATGTTTTCGCATATTCCAGGTTGAAACGTTTTCTTATTTTTTTCGTCCCGCGTACCACATACGGAATCCACGCGATTGAGAACGAACAAAAACGAAAATCCTTTATGCACCTTTTCCAAGAATCGCATTCTGCGCGCTGCCATCTTTGTCTGCTGGGCTGTGGAACTGCTTTTGAGCATGCTGAGAGGCTTCTCAGACACAGCGCATGCCAGTCGTAGACTCCCAGTGTTGAAGTTTCTGCGTCACTACTGGGGGACAGCGTCGATCGGCCAGGACTGCCGCGTCAGCGTTCGGTCTTTCCGAGGACTGAACATGGAGCCCTGTCCGAGGCTCGAGCACCACTTCTGTTCCTAGGGGCCTTATTATCTGGCAAGTGTTACGCCATTGCAACCCGAAAGCCGAGAGAATTAACGGGGAAAGAGAAAGGAAAGCCGCACGGCGAGCGAGTGTTTCGAAATCCGTCTTTTGAGCACCGGAACGCGAGGAAGAGCGTCCCAATTCATAGTCTTTATATACTGACAAAGCCTGGCAGATCGCCATAAGAAGCGGCCGCCAAAATGAAAAAGGTAGAGCGGCAGACAACGGATAAGAGGAGAGCCACGTAACTGGCGTCCCGCTGCGGCGAGACGCCGAAACACACTTCTCCAGAGCGAAGAAGTGTGTTTCAGGTCCTCGCCGCCGCAAAAGCTGTGCACTGACGTCCAGGTTACCCTAGAGTTCCTGTATAGGCTCCCTACGGGAGCCAGAGTTGCGCATTTGTTTTCCCCGCGCCGCCACGCCGCTATTCGCCGAGATCCATCACGTGAGGAGCAAAGCATCCGGTGGCGTGCAAGAAAGCCACCTTTACGGTCGCTCCGCCGACGTTTCTCGCGCCCCGGCGTATGTTCCCCTGCTTTCCGCCTCCTTTTCCTCCTCTCCTGTTTTCCATGCGCGGCGGCGCGCGCGGCGCCGCTATTCGCCAAATTTAGTCACGTGAGGAGCAAAGCATCCAGCTCGTGCTGGAAAGCCGGCGCTACGGCCACGCGCCGAGGCTGAATGCGCAACTCTGCTACCGTAGGTAGCATATACAGGAAATCTAGGTTACCCCAGAGCCGTTTATTGGGAGAGTTTGGCCAATGGGTAGAGCAAAGGCCACCACCAGCTCGCCGCTGTACTCGGTCCACCCCTATGGTGACCGTGCGGTGGCGCTGCCCATGGTGCAGGAGGTGGCCAGAGCAGTAACGCCGATACAGTGGACGCTAAATGCTCTCGTCGGACCAACCAACCGCTTCCCTTTCATCACCTGACACCGCGTCTCTCGCGTGTGTATGGTCCGGGAGCGTGATCACGTGGCCAAAGATAAACGTAACAAGCGGTCTGAGAGTCACACCGCACTGTCAAAGTTACTGCTTAGAAGATGAACGGAGCATACAATGTTTCTCTCCCTACAAAGCAATATCCACGACAAACCGGCGCCCTATAGTCGGTAAGCAGCGAAAGAAGAAGAAAAAAAAAAAAAAAAAAGAAAACGTACGCACCCTTTCCTCGAGAAAAAAAGAAAGACGTTAGTATACTAAATATTTATGAAGGGAGAGAGCAAGGCGGTCGTTGCTGAGCACTGCAGCTCTCTCCATTCCCACTCTATCTTCATTTTTTTCCTTTCCCCGAGGCATACAAATTAGTATTTCCCGGGGTGTTGCTCTCGCTGACAAATTCCGGGCGACGAATGAGTGGCCTCATTGGTGGCGCGGTCATTTGATCCGGGGGACTCCGCGGGGCCCAGAGCGTGGAAGATGGATGCGCAGGGAGCTCCTCGAGGAAGACACACGCGGCCAGATTTCTGATCTGTCTCGCCTCCTCGGCCGGCCGATCGCGTCACGTGGCCGACACCGTCTCGACGCGGGAATCACGGCGTTCAGATCCGGCAGCGTGTTCGTCTGCTTTTTAATGCATTAACTATCCCATGGAGCGGAGTCAACAATTAACGTCTGTAACCTAATAAAATAAACGCGAAAGAAATGCTTCTTTTTTATTAGCTGAGCAAAACGGCTCCTAGATAGCCATTGGCGGCCGCTTCACGAGAGCGCATGCGCTCGGCAGCCGCTCTCGTGGCAGGCGTTGCTGGAAAGGGGTGGGGAGAGCTGCGGCTTGCGGCCGCTTCACAGGAGCGCGTGCTCGGCCGCCGGCTGCAACCTCGGCAGTAGCGAAACGTGGCCGTCCCGGTCAGCACACCGCGGACGAACCAAGGGAGCGAAAGAACAACATTCATGCTTTCACTTTCGCAACTCATAAAATGTGATAGGTGTCCTCGGATTTTTTTTTTTTTTTTTTAATGCTACATTTTTAAGTCGCTAAAACATCGTACGGTGTGCACTGTCTTGTTCGATAATCCCATTGGCCATACAAATGTAGTACCCCTGTTACACGGGCACACTTAACCGCGGTTAACTCAACTAAACTGCTGTTGCGCGGCACCACAGATACCGCACTATACTCTCTGACAGCTATTTCAGACGAAGTGAAGAGCGCGCGCGCACTGCTTCGATAGATGCTCAAGATGCTCAAGGGCACGTTCGCCCATAGCTTTGACTGCATAGCCGCAGAATGTTGTCCGCAAGTAGTGTGCGCTATCTGTGGCTTAGCGTAACTGCAGTTAAATGTGCCCGTGTAACAAGGGTATAGGTGCACTACGGCTTTACTCAGGAGCTAACTTTGATTTAGTCTCGAAAAGTGAAGCGTGCCACCGTTGAAGATAGTTGGCCGGCTGTCAAACCCGCGTGTAAAAAAACTGCGAAAAAAAAAAAAAAAAAAGAAGAGCAGGAGAAAGGACTCTGAGATGCTTCGAGAACGAAAATTCGCCAGCTGCGAAAGCTAAGAAAACAATAGCAGTGAACAAATAAAGAAACGGTACGACGGGAGGATAGGATGTGGCAACGCGCGGTTTCCACCGCCCAAAAGGCTGAGACTGGAGTTTATTTTATTTTGATTTGTTTACAAATACTGCAGGCCCCACGCGGGCCGAAACGGGAGGATCATCTGCTGTGGTTTGATCTACAGACTATAGATCGAGATAGACATGGTATTAAATGAGGTAGCATTTCTGAGCGAACGCACTTTCGCGTCTGCCTATCGCTTTATAACCGACAAAACAGGCGGCATGGATCACTTATACGGGGCGTTTCATTAAGTTGCTTTATGTAGTGAAAACGAACATATTGGTGCCAATTAGCCACTTGCTCGGCGCCATTGAAAATCACCGAGTCAGTAAATTTTGGTGTGACTCGAAGCACGTGGGCGCCAGCTAAAGCCAACACTCGTGGAGCGAGGCGGAAGGCTGGCCACGCTAAAATTTTGCTGATGACGAAAACACGGGCGCCATTAGGATCGATCTCTACACGTCGCTAGTTTTGTTTTCTACTGCATCGGTTTTTTGTCCAGTTTTTGTAGTACCGCTAATTTCCGGCGACAACTGAGGAAGGCCGGGGACATCCCGTTCCCGTTTCAGCCCGACGGCCCGGTTGAAAAGCCACCGCAGTTCGCGGGTCTATCGCAAAACGAAGTGAGGCGATACCTCCAATACAAGACGGACTTGCAGTGGCAGGCTCACCGAGGTTAGGCTTTTGAGGAAGAGGGTTATGTTCGCAAGGTTAGGCTGTACACATCAGATGACACTCGGATATGCCTCGTACACGGGGGTGTCTGCCTTCCATCGATGAAGTAAGTGCCGCACACGGTATCGGCGCGGTTCTCGAGAAGTACCGCGGGAGCGCCATTTGCGGTATTGGTAGGAGGCTGTCAATTCGGACGGGCGATCTTTCCATCCCACGTAGCGAGGGAGATTGTCACTATTTTGTCAGCGAGCACAGTCGGCACAAACTCTGGGTGATGTTTGTGCAGCAACGGTTTTCCTGTATAATAAAGCGGCAATGTAAATATCACGCAACTTTGTAGCGTGTTTTTCTGAGGTGCGATAAATGCGATTTATCTGTGACGAAGTTTGCTCGGCATACTATAAACAAGGTATTTTTTTTTTTTTTTTGCCCGTTTTGATATTTTGCAGATTTGGAGAGGTGTGGGTTTCGGGAATATTCTTCGGTCACAAAATTGTGCGATTAAAAGTAGTTTGCTAAGCATTCTAAAAATAAAAAAATAAATAAAAAGAATTCGTCTTTTTTCCCGGTTGGTACCGATTCCGACAACACGGTGCTTTGGCATCGTCCGAGCACACCGGGAATCACGCAGCGCCGCTCGCGTCAACCAAAATCGCAGCCTTGTTTCCTCGTCCCTCATCTCCCTCTCCTCCTCCTCTCCCTCCCTCCCCTCCTCTCCTCCTCCTCCTCCTCCTCCTCCTCCTCCTCCTCCTCCTCCTCCTCCCCCCCCCCCCCCCCCCGGCCTAACCGGCCTGTCAAAACGTGCATAGTGTACTCTCCAACCCGCAAGTCCGAAAAAGGTGTGCTGCGCCAGCCATGCACTAAGCGTCAAAATGGCGGCGAGCTCGAGAAGATAGTGGAATTGAGTTCCGGTCCTCGAAGCATAGCTTATTTAGTGGCTCCTTACACGTTTGCTAGTCCGGCTTCAGGGCGCCGCCATCTTGCTGGGTTGTGGTGCGCTTGGACGCGTCATGATCCGATTACGAAGCTTCGCTAAGGCGTCGTAGTCGGATTATGGCTGCTCCTGAGCA